TAATATCAATAAAAGTAATATATTTAAAATTTTTCAAAAATAGGTTAATTTTTTAAAAATAATATCAATAACACTGTTCATCTTCTTCTTCTTGTCATTTGTTCACTAGAGCCGCCGTCCACTGCCGCCCGCCCACCTCCACCTCCGGCAACTTGCCAGAGGTGGCAGCGGCGGCATTGGTGGTTTCTTTGTCCAATGCCACCACCTCCGCCTCCGCTTCCGGCAACGTTGCTGGAGATGGGTGGAGACAGAGGTAGCGGCGACAGCGGGCAGCAGCGGATGGTGGTGGTGGGCGGCAGCTCTGATGAACAAATGACAAGAAGACAGTGTTTTTGTCATTTATTGATATTATTTTTAAAAAAATAACGTATTTTTGAAAATTTTTAAATATATTATTTTTATTGATATTAAACCCCAAAAATTGCCCTTGAAACCCTTTATAAAACCCGGATTTCATTAACTAGAAAGCCCGTGGTGCAAGCAAAATGCAATTAATAAGAAGTCTTTCATAATAAGCATAATTAGACCTCTGTTCCAATATAATTAATTATGCAGATATTGAAATTGAATGGCAGAGAAACGCTTCCCACTAGAGCTGGTGCACATGGATCTCCTGAAGCTGTAACAATATTTAAATCGTTGCATGCATGCTGCCTACCTTGAAAATCACGCCAGCTGGATGCATGATTTGGACGTTACCTTTTCTTCGCGAATAGATAGGCTTCAACGACAGATCTCCAACGGAATTTGGGAGTTTTCTTACTCAACAAGTCAGTCGTCTATGGACTATGATTTGATTTCACAGAGACAGAGGTGTGGATGTGGTGTTTACAAAACCGTTAACCGTACGTAGTTAAACCGGATGGTGAAACCGGTTCACTGACCAACTGACCAGGTCTTGGTCTTGGGAGCTTCCGGTGTTATAAACCCTTCGGTTGAGCCGTTATTTAATTTCCTGTGAGAGGAATTAAAAAAACCCAGATTTGAGATTTTCCCATGATCCCATCCTTGGGCATGCATTATCTGGAGCAGTTCAAATTACACAGCTAAACGATGCCAGTTTGGCTGAATCTTTAATTAATCAGCTCATGATCGGCCCTCTCAAATCAAAGCTTTATTTATATATGCACGGTTAGTGAAATGAAAGCAAAAAGCGTCTCAACTCGCTGAAACTTGAAAGTACACATCATCCTCCATAGAATTGAACATGATTTCCTCAAAGCAAAAACTTAACCGTGCCAACACTCTGTCTGATCGAGATCACGCATTCCACACATCTCCCTGTAAATTTAACGTACATGTATGTATGGTTTGGGAGATATTGATGATGTCTAGCCAGATACCATGCTCTCTGAGTGTTTTGCATGTTCCCGATCCATCTGGGCTCTCATTTAATAATGTTTTCTCTAAGAGTAGCTCATCAACCAAAATATCAGCCTTCTCAAACGGTCCCTTAGTTCCTAGTTCAGTAAAGAGAATCCCAATTTCAATATATATATATATATATATATTGATATTCCACTTGGAATGAATATGCATGACAGATGCATACATATGAATGAGAACGAAGGCAAACGGATGAATTGTAGTTACTAGTTAGTTGTTGTATGTTTCATTAGTTTCTCTCTCCTCACCAACACAGCACCTTAGTTTAATCAGTGTCCCCGGCCCAAACCAGCTGGACTACTACTGAACCAGATGGATGGTTGAACCCGTGACTGCTATTCCTCTTTAATTATGTGATCGTTCTTACAGCGCCTGAAAGGTCTATCGATTTAACTAGCCGGTTGTTCAGTACAACGGTGATCCAGTAAGTTTACCATTTTTTTAATTTCAACAATATTGTTTTAAATTGCATGTCAGCATGCCTATAAAAAATGTAATTAACTTCTCTCTCTCTCTCTCCTCTTATATATAGATGTGCGAGTACGTGAATCAAAACAAAGCGGATAGAAAAAAATGGCCGCATCGTCGTCTTCCTCCTCCTCCTCCTCCTCCTCCACCATCAGTATAGGCGTCGCCTCCTTCTCTACTCAAGTAAATGCATATTTCAGGAAAAATGTCATGTTTCAGGTGCAACTCTCTCTCTAGCTCTCCTCTCCCTCTCTCTCTCTCTCACACACTCTGAATATATATATATATATATATATATATATATATATATACACACGTATGATGATCTTCCTTTCACCTTCCAATAGAAGCAGAAAGTACAGAGGGTCTTCATTTTCTTACATCGTCGTTGATTTTTTGTTAGAGTTACTTTTTGCTTTTATTGTTCGAAACACTAAAGTTGTTAATTAATCAAGGCTCTGATGAGTGGCGTGCGTTATAGATATAGTCTGTAATGTCTATAGAAGTATATTACATCAGTTTTAAATTATTTACCATCCATTAAAGATGTAATTTTATCAGAGAGAGAGAGATGTTTTTGGTACCATTAATTGTCGTTCATGTGTGGGAGGCAGTTTGTAGAATTGACGTTTCTTGCTTCAGGAGATGAAGTTTTATCATTCTAGCTAGCTGATCAAGTGACTCTAACAACATATATATATATCACCAAAAAATAACCTAAATTTCTTCAAGCGTTGTGTTCCCGGCCAATTCTTAATAACAAAATCAAATAGCTAAGGCAGTTGCGAAACTGAGGAGCCAATATAAGTTCTTAACTGAAAAGCATACAATAATACCCCCTACAGCTACAAGGTTAACATTCCGTTGATGAAATTGACCGCGACTATTTTGTATTTCACTGCTGTTGATTTAAGAGAGAGATGCTAGTTAATTGGTAGAAAAGTAGGGATCAGTGATCTTCTAAGTTTACCAAAAAAATAAAAAGCAACCACCAGAGATTATCAGAGACCTCTTGAATCCTGATTTTCGGCTCTGTTTGTCTGACTGCAAATTTGAGTCAGAACCAGACTTTGCACCCGGTTCAAATGTGCATTTATTTGTTCATAACTATAATTTGCACTCTTGCCTGATATTAAATCTCCCCTTTCTTTTCCCAAATTGATTGAAAATTTGTGCCACGTACTTTTACCTTGGTTCTCCCTCATATAAGGTGGGGACTACATTGATTTACTTCCTATTTCACTCTTTCCAAATGGGTCCAGATCTGTTCCTCACAAAGGGCTCATCACACCAACCTCACAATAGACGATGGGATATTCTGTGAGGTCAGTGTGAGGTGCATTACGTGAGGAGCAAATCCGGATTCCTCCCAAACAAATAACTTCACTCTCTTTCATGTAAAGTGAGGACCGAGGACCATGTCATTTAATATCCCTCTTTACAAACAAACCGAAGTAAAAACCTAGAGCAAAAGTACACAGCCCATTTACACTCCTATGATTTCACACTGGTGCAAAAGAAACTCGCATGCAAACAAACAGAAACAGGGCCTTAATGATATTACTTTTAAACGTTTTCTTATTTCTACTTGAAATCCAACTTTTCTTTTTTTTTTTTTTCTTGAAAGCCGAGGAAATTCAAATTGTCTTATGGTTGGATAACCATGTCTTAATGTATGAAATTTAAAAACTAACAAAAGATATTGAGGCCCTGGCAATTGGAGACCTTAACTAGTTTTCTATATCTATCAAAAAAAAAAAACTAGTTTTCAAGCTCTGAGCAAAGCAGTAATTTAATTTGGTTTCGTTTTGTTCAAGTAAACTATGAAGATGGCTTCCAAGAAATTGAGGTCAACTATGAAGGTAAGAAAACATTGGTATTTGGGTAGCTTAAGTAAAGTTCTCTTTTCTTTCTTTTTTTAATTTGGTTTTGTTTCCTAAACCAAAGCACGATGACTAATGTAAACTTAGAGGGTCAACAGCAACGTACATGAAACTATGGGTGTCAATTGGACCGGATGTGGTCCAAATCAGATGCAGTCCGATGTGAGTCTATTATAAATGGATGAGGTCTAATTCAATTCAATGAATATTTTGGACCATCCAGTTTGTTCAAATTTGTTTTAATTTATATTGGTTTCAATTCAAACCCAGTTCATTGATATCTATATTCTAATATTATATCAATGGACTAGATGTTGACTTAATCCAACCCAATCTAATATAAATTTATTACAGATGAACCAGGTCCAATCCAATAAGTCTTATTGGTCCGTCCAATCTATCCAAATTAATTTTAGATTGAATGGAGTCCAATCTAAAACCGGTCCATTGACACCCTTACATGAAACCCTGCAAACACCCTTACTTCTGATATGCAGTTGCCATCCATGCCTGCAACAGTAAATCCTAATTTGCAGTGAAAGAATAGCATTAGATTCATCCAATTTGGTTCTTGGGTTCTTAATTTGCCTCAGTTTTATGGATTTTTTCATAAGTAAATATATAAATAAAAGAATTAATTTAATGGTAAATCCCACCATTTGAACCTAAAATTAATCTTTCATCTTATATTATACCATGTATTATATTTCCATATAAATAGTTAGGCAAAAGTTGTTTGTTCTTTTAATTATATGATGGTGGGGTTACGAATATAATCCTGAAGTGATAATAGTTTATTAATTAAAGATTATCATCATCATCATCATTATTATTATTATTATTATTATTATTATTATTATTATTATTATTATTATTATTATTATTATTAATGTAAATGCGTATGTATATATATATGTATGTATCTATTATCCGTTAGTATATAGCATTCTCAATTTTCTATTCTGATAAATCCATAAGGGCTCTGGATCAATCTCCCCTGAATTTTATAAATGTATAGTTAGTTGGTATTCATCAAAATTCACCGGAGAGTTTTTTCAAAAGAAAATTCACCAGGGAGGGGTTGACCGGTCAAACCTCTTCCGCCATCATACTTGGCTGGTTATCCATCAAATGGAATTTCTATGCCAAGCTTGGCCCAGCAATGGTGTCTCTAAATACCAGGCCCAAACCAAGCCCATTCTTAACAGTCAGACTATCCAAGCCTTTTCCGTTAATTAAATCTCTCTCTCTCTCTGACAAGTAATCCCTCAGCCTCAATTTGAGTTCTCGTGCGCGGGTGATTTTATCGAAAAATGGAGCTAGTTATCTATATTAACATTATCGAATCGAAATCAATTCCGTTAATATATAGATTGTTTTTCCCCCATTCATTAGTGCTTTAAATTCTTGGCTTCTTAATGTATATGCTTAGGCTTTAATGTCTGAAACTGGTAATCAAGGACTATAGGGAACTCCGTAACCTGCATGAAGGTCTTCGTTTTTTTGGTGGATGAGTGCTTCACTGCTTCTTTTTGTGTCAATGTGGCAATTTATTTCATACTGGTTCATTGGATGACATGAATAGTAAGGACTAAGGATAGTTTCAACTTTCAATTGACAAGATGTTGCGAGAAGGCACTCAACGCTTCAAGATGCTTCATCTACGTCTGGTTGCAGATATGATGTTTGCTTTAATTACCTTGAAGTAATAATAGAAAAATAGTTTCTATTTAGTTGGCCTTAGGAGATTTCCCGTGCTGATACAGAGCAAACATATGTCCTTAACGTACATCTTGCAGGTTAGACCCTCATAAGTATGATGATATCCAGGAAAAATGGTCCATTTCGAATAGGTGTTCGATAGAAGAACAACGTAGCTTTTTGCTACTGCATGTTTGCCGTCTGCGGCATCAGGCCATTGAAGGAAACGCCCCTGTAATTCAACAAGTGAAGTGGGAGCATCCCTCAGTTTACCAGTATTTTTGTCAAGGCTATAGAAATATTTTACTCAGTTATTTTTGTCTCAGTAATGTACTTTTTCCTAGTATGCAGCACTCCTGTGGCATTCTATAAAAGTATAAAGATTATTTTTTTTTTGTTGGCCCGGTACATGGAAGTCATAGAACAAGTGCTTGCTTTCTTTGAACGATGCAGTTAGTATTCTGTAATTATTACAATATCCAATATGTGGATCACCCATAATCGATTAGTCGTGGTTCAGATCGATGATCTTGTCACAAGGTTGCTGAATCTCCAATGAATTTGTTAAACAACTAATTTACATGCTTATTTCTCTAAGTGCCATTCCAGAATGAAACCTAAAGATTGCTTATTGATATTACTTGTTGGGGTGTGGTTTGCTTATAGGTGAATCCAGATTGATGCTTATTTGGTCTGCTTATGTTGTAGAAACGTGAACGGCATAATAGACTGGCTATTCTATTTCTGATAAACTAAAAGTATTGTTTTTTCTTTTTTTCTTTCTTTTTTTTGCAGAAACGGAATATTAAATTGAATGTAACTCTGATCACATTCCCAGTTTTCCTATGTTTGCTGATGGTTTTAATACAATTGGTGATCAATTCTCAACTAGATAACCCCAGGTATCGTTGTGGATGTAAGTGCATCCCCACTAACTCCAATGGAAGTGCCTGCAAGATGGTTTGTGGGTTGGAGTTCTCTACCTACAAGCAAGCTAGTGCTTGTCCTCTACCAAGACCAGAAAAATGGCCTGCTTTATTGCAAGTGCCAGATTCTTCCTACCGAGCTGTCCAAACAGATGTCCACACATTCACAGGCTTACCAGGGGAATTTTGCTTGAAAACATATTCTTGCCCAGTGACTTCACTCTTCACCGGACGAAACAGAAGTGTTGCAGAGAGTATGTTACATTTGACTTATTATTCCCTTGTTAGTTTTAGAATATTAATTGATAGTCGGGCTTGTTCAACCAAATTGATCTTTTTGCCTTAGAAAATATCTCATTGTTTGGATGTTGTGTCCATCATGGTGAGTTTGTTCCAAGATGATGTGTGCTACATCCATGGACACAAGAATAGAGGAGGCAGAACGTCCTAACTTCTCTACAAATCCAAGAATTTCTTTGTTTGAATTTTAGGCAATCATAATGCTTCGAGTGTTGCAGGTCTTGTCAAGAGGGTTGAACTAGATGCATTTACTGAGGAATCCACCAATGCATTGGACTTGGCTTCTCTGTCTTATATTGTATTTTCCTTTCCATGCTAGCAAGAACAACGTTCTTTGTACATGTTTTATAATTCATGTGTAGTATATTTATTTGATTTCTCGGTATGAATAATTGTGTTAGGGAACAAAGAGCACCCCTGGAACGACCAACTTCATAGAACGTGCACTTCTGACCAATTCTTCTTTAAATATTCTCCTACCTCGCTGCCCAGAGAACTTCAGCTACACCATCCCTGTAACTGTAGGCAGTGCTACATTCCGACATGGTACATTGACTTAACTAAATTATTTTGAGAAGAAAACATAAATTTTGGCATCAGTTATGTAACAGAGCCTACGGTGCTCCTTTCCTTTTTTCTTTTTATTTTATTTCTAATCTTTGAATACAGATATTGACTGCATTGAGAGCTTCCACTTATGGCGGGAGAACTCATCAATTATCAACAGAGAACTATTTGAAGGTTACCGGCATGGAAATTCTGCAAAAAAAATCCATGAAATCCTTGGGGGTGTGTTTGTTAGTATGTTTCAACAACTACTTTCTATGCTCATATTAGGATTTGGAATATAGCTCTGAGTATTTTGCATTTGATGCAGCTTATGATTTCTTGAACACAAGTAAAGTTAACTTCAATGTGAGCTTTTGGTATAATTCCACATATGGCAATTTGGTTACTATTCCACGCTTGTTGCGAATACCACGATCTCTTAACATGGTATGTATTTTATCTTCTTAATTTTTAATAATATGTTTTATATTTTGAAGTGACTTGTGTCTGATGTGAAGAAAAGAAAACTACATAACCGGCAATTTTCTTCCTGCTTGATATTTAAATTTCTATAAATGCATGACTAAGTAGTTTCTTCTCCATTTTCAGCATTGCATCCAATGCTGAATCATTTTTTCTTTTAATTGCTTTCACTCATGTTGAAAGTTTCACTGTATATATCATCAAATATGAAGAATACTGAAACTTTGTTCTTATTGGAAGGAGTACAAATACAAATATGTACAGTACAAATACATACAAATAATACAGAATGTAAGGTTTTACACTACATATTTGTATCTGTACTCCTTCCAAACTGAGCTAAGGCTCAGTTCAGGAAGAGTGCATAAACAAATACGTTCGGTGCAAAACCTTGTATAAAGTATTTTAAGACCTTATATTCGTACTGTACATATTTGTATTTGCATTCTTCCCAAATTGAGCTTACTTTGTTTGCTTGTAGCGCAAATCTGAACCCAGTACAAATTTTGTATTTGGTTCACTTTTGCATCTGTGTTTGTAACTAAGATTTGTACTCCTACCTGATAGGCTGGTACAAATATATATATATATATATATATATATATGTCTCATTTGCACTCACTAGAAGTGCAAATTTTGTATTTTGTATCTCAAAAACTGATGCAAAATTTGTATCACCTTTCTCCTACAACTATTTTTCATATAAAGTGGGGACCACATTATCTGGCTTCTTATCTCATTCCCAAACAAATAGCCCTCCTCTTACCTTCTTCTCTTTCATATAAGATGGGTCCACATCATTTTACTCTGTATTTTACTTCTCACAAACAAATAAAACAAATACAAATCTGAAGCAAAAGTAGTGAACCTTGGAGATTAGCCCACTACCTGTTGGAAGCTAGAGACCTGTCTGCATCCAGACCCATTTTGTTTAGATGGAGTCCCAGGGAGTTTAATGCTATTGAGGATAGATGGATTAGCAAAAATTGGTGCTTTTAGACCTCTTTGGTATGATTTCAGCTCTTCCAGACTAATTGTGGAGTTATTGCTTTTTGTAGACTGTTTTGCCTTTGAGCAGTCTGGTCTTAAGTTTAAATCCTCTTATGTACATCTTTTTCCTTGATAAATTATGTACATTTTTACTCTCTTTAATACAATCTCAGTTGCTTCGATAAAAAAAAAAAGGAAAAAAAAACTGAAGCAAAAGTAAACCAGGTTTTACACTCAGCCTATTTGCACTTATTTACACTAATGCAAATGAAATTTGCACTGCAAACAAAGTAACAAACTGATCCTAAGGCTGTGTTTGTTTGCAATGCAAATCTGATCCAGATACAAATTTTGTACCCAGTTCAGTTTTGTATCCATTTGTTTGTAACTATGAGTTGCACTCTTACCTTATGTAAAATTTGCACTGTCTCATTTGCATCCATTAGAAGTGCAAATTTTGCATCTGAAAACTGATGAAATTTGCACAACTTCCCCCATACCTTAATTCTCTCTCATACAAAGTGAGGACCACATACCACACCAATTTGCTTCCTAACTTACTCTGCCCAATTAAATAACCTTCTGCTTTATTTCTCTTTCATATAAATTGGGGACCACATCATTTTACTTCTTCCGTACAAAAAAAAAGACAAGGTTAAACCTGAATCAAAAGTAATCCAGGATTTACACTCAGTCCATGTGCACTCCTAGGAATTTACACCAATGCAAATGAATTTGCTCTGCAGCCAAATGGAGCCTAAGGACCCTCTAGGTCTTCTTACAAAGAACAAGATGGAAAATGAAAGAAAACTCCTAAGGGGATCCATTTGGTTCATGGTAGCTTCCTATAATACCTCTCTATTCTAAGATTGATGTTAAAAGGGGTTATAAGTTGTTTTTTCTTAATGTTTTTATTTCTGCTAGTGTCGCAGGGGTACTATTGTAATTCCCCTCCCTTCCTCTTTGAGCTCTCAAATTTCTCTTCTCTCCTCTCCCTTCTTCTCTTCTCTCTTCTCTTCACTTCAGTTTCTGGACAAGATGGTATCAGAGCGGGTTCATCTGACCTGAAAGGAGATCGAGTCCTCTGTCTTCTTCCTCATCATGCTGCTGATTTTTTTTTTTTCTGAAGAACCAAGGTATTTTTTTGGGACAGATATCAGAAGCTTGGTTCTCCTCCTTTTTATTTTTTATTTTTTACCTGATCGTATATCAGGACAGACCCAAAAAAAGGGGAAAACCAATCGGATGTGAGGTGATCAGCGCCTGCACCTTCCTTTTTTGCAGGATCAAGTGATCCTTGTAGTGGTTGTAGGTCAGAGGTGACCTGTATGTGCTGCAACATCAGCTTTGTGGAGTGTGTAGGTCGGAGATGACTTGTGTGTGCTGTGACAGAAGTGCAGTGGGTTTGTGGGTTGGTGATGACCTGTAGGTGCTGCAACAACAGTAAAATTGTTTTTTTCTGGGTGATTGAAGCACTGTGGTCAATCTAGAAGGTGGCTGCCTGCAGTTTTTCCTGGTGCAGATTTTTTTTTCCAGAAATAACATAGTGTGCAAAAAGGAAAATAAGTTGGACAGGTTGGACTGTTTTTTGTTTGGTGAAGATTCAAAAACTTCTAGTGTGATCTAAACCAGCTATCATGAATAGTGAAGACTCAGCCACCTCTAGTGTTTCATCAATGTAAAATGGACTGAGTGGGGGTATGGATTTATCCTTCCCTATGGCTATCATACTTCTTGATGGCCTAAATTACTTAGAATGGTCGAAGGGGATCAGGCTATACATTACTGCAAGGGGAAAAATAGGCTATATAAATGGAAGAATTAAAGAACCTAATTCTGGGAGTGCTGAGCATGACAAATGGAACCAAGAGAATAGCACGGTAATGTCATGGCTCTTAGTGTTTATGCAACCTCAAGTGAGAAGAAATTTTATGTGGGCTGAAACAGCTTATGAGATTTGGGAACAAGCCAAGTCAACCTATTCTGAATTGAGACACTATGCATAGATCTATCAGTTACAGGCAAAATCCTCTACTTGCAAATAGGGGGAGAGGAGTCTCTCTGTGTACTACTCAGACTTGTCTTCCATTTGGAAAGAGTTGGATCACTATCAGAATGTAGATTGGAAGTGTGATGAAGATGTGAAAGCATACAAGTCTCTTGTTTCTCGACAGAGGGTCTTTGCCTTCCTCCTTGGCTTGAACCCTATATATGAATCCATTAGAGTGTAGATCCTTGGAAGAAAGGATCTCCCTTCTGTTCAAGAAGTATATGCTCTAGTACAGTCAGAGGAAAGTAGAAGAAATCTGATGAATAATTCTGAGGGAGATGCAGTTGTGTTGGTAGCAAAAGGAAGTGTTGTTACAAGTGGGGGAAATCCTTTTAAGAAGGGAGACTCTCAAAAAAGGGTGGATGAAAAAGAAATTATGGTGCACCCATTGCCAGGAGCCTCGCCACACTCGTGATACATGTTGGGACCTTCATCGGAAGCCGAAATGGGCTCATGAATTGAGTAAGAAATAGGGTTCAGATCTAAATAAGAAGTTAGGACAGCAAGGTTCAAGAAAATTCACTACAAAAAACATGGCTACTCAAGAGAACCAGCCCCCTATTGCAGTTCAGACATGCACCACTGGTTCTGACCCTAGGGAAGATATCATTAATTCTTTCCGTGATCATTTAGAACTTTATGGTAGGGCAATTCGCCAAATGGATGCCCCTCCTTCATCAACTTCATATGCGTCTACATTAGGTAATTCTGCCACAACTCTCCATGTATTGTCTCATTCCTCTGACTCTCATTGGACAATTGATTCTAGAGCGTCAAAACATATGATTGGTAAGTCTACCTACTTTCAGACCTACCATCTTCTCTCTAGAAGAGACAAAGTGAGACTAGCTGATTATTCATTCTCTACCATAGCTAGTCAAGGAACTATTTATCTTCCTTTTGGTCCTACCCTTTCTAATGTTTTACATGTTCCCCAATTCCCTATTAATTTGTTTTCTATTAGTAGTATAGCCAATTCTTTAAAATGTTCAGTAACCTTCTTCCCTTCTTATTGTGTAATTCAGGATTTGGACTCGGGGAAGATGATTGGTAGAGGGCGTATGGTGGATGGTGTCTACTTGCTAGAAAATAAGGCTGGCCTTGTAGTCACAGAGTCTAAGAGTTGGTCTATTAAGAGTCAAGCCTATTTATGGCACAGTCATCTTGGTCATTTATCCTTTGATTCCTTAAACATTGTGTTTCTAGAGTTGTTTAAGTCGGTGTCAGTGTCAGAGTTGATATGTCAAACTTGTCAATTGAGTAAACATTGTAGAACTCATTTTTCTTCAAAGAATAATAAATCTGAATTTCCTTTTCATATTGTTCACTATGATGTGTGGGGCCCAGTTACTTTACCATCTGAAAGTGGCTACAAGTATTTTATTACATTTATTGCTGATATTCTAGGTACACATGGGTATATCCCATGCGAACTAGGGATGAAGTACCAAAAATTATCAAAGATTTCCAAAGAATGGTTTTCACCCAATTTCAAACCGAAATCCAAATCTTCTAATCTGATAATGCAAAAGAATACTTCCATAATGATTTTACGGGGTTCTTTACTTCACGTGGATCACTCCACCGTATCTCTTGTGCCCGAACACCACAACAAAATAGTGTTGTTGAAAGAAAGAACCGCCATCTTCTTGAAGTAGCTTGGTAATTATTAATTCATATGAATGTTCCCAAACATTTTTGGCTTGAAGCTATCCTTTGTGCTACCTATCTCATTAACCACATGCCCTCTTGGTGGTTAGAGTACAAAGCCCCACATCAACTTTTGTTTCCCAAGGTTCCTCTTTTGTCTATTCCTCTCCATGTTTTTGCTTGTTGTTGCTTTGTTCAAAACTTGTCACCCACTCGTGGGAAATTGGATCCTCATGCTATTCCTTGCATATTCTTGTAGTACCCTACAAATCAAAAGGGGTACGGGTACTTTGATCCTGTCTCTTGGAAATATCATGTTTCCATGGATGTCTCCTTATTTGAGAGTGAACATTTTTTTCCTGTTTCTCCTCAAGGGGAGTGTAGGCATGAGGACAAATAGGTTCAAAATCCACCTCTTCCTCAAATTCAGCTCCCCCCTCTACCTGATCCTCCTCCCTTCCGTGTTTTTTGTCGTCGTCATAAAGGCCAACCAAGTTCAAGAGCTGTGGAGCATCTAGAAGTTGTACCACCAATGCCATCAAATTCTCTAGGGATAGATCCTACCCAGCCAGGTACCCTAGTTCCCATTGATATTTCTAACCCTATTGCTATTGATACCTCCAGTGCTGATGATCTTAACCTTCCTATTTTTCACCAGAAGGGTGTTGGATCTTGCACCCCATTTCCCATTTCGGACATTCCTCTCTTCCATTGATAGTGTTCCTACTCCTAAGAATGTGGCAGAAGCTCTCTCAGTGCCTGAGTTGATAGATGCAATGAAGGAAGAAATTAATGCATTACATAAAAATGGTACTTGGGAATTAGTGGATCTTCCTAAGGGAAAAGAACCATTTGGATGTAAATGGGTATTTACAATGAAACATAGGGCTAATGGCACAGTGGAAAGGTATAAAGCTCGTCTAGTGGCAAAAGGATTCACTCAAGTGTATGGGGTGGATTATGCAGAAACTTTTGCACTAGTTGCTAAGATAAACTCCATTAGGGTTCTCTTCTCTTTAGCTGCTAACTTTGATTGGGACCTTCACCAATTGGACATCAAGAATGCATTTCTAAATGGTGATTTAGAAGAAGAGGTGTACATGGTACAACCCCCTGGTTTCCGGGCTCAAGGTAATGAACAAAAGGTATGCAGGTTAAAAATGTCATTATATAGCTTAAAACAATCACCAAGAGCTTGGTTCAGTAGATTCCAGGTAGCTATACAACAAAAGGGCTACAAGCAATGTTAATTTGATCATACATTGTTTGTGAAAACAAGGGAAGGGAAAATTGCAGCCCTAATAGTGTATGTTGATGATATAGTTATCATTGATGATTGGAAAGATGAAATTCAAAGATTGAAGGGATTTCTTGCTACTCAGTTTGAGGTGAAAGATCTCGATCCTTTGAGATGCTTCCTTAGAATTGAAGTTGCCCGCTCACAAAAGAGTATCTTCATTTCTCAGAGAAAGTATGTCCTAGATCTACTATAGGATACAGAAAAATTGGGAGTGAAACTTGTTGATTCTCCTATTGATCCTAATCACAAATTAAGTGATTGCCTAGGTGAATTCATCAAAGATGTGAAGAAATTTCAGAGGCTCGTAGGAAGACTACTATATCTCTCCATGACTCAGCCAGACATTGCTTATGCAGTGGGTGTTCTTAGTCAATTCATGCATGCTCCTAAGACCACCCACCTTAAAGCTGTTGAAAGAATTCTCAAATATCTTAAGAAATTCCCAGGTGTAGGTTTATTGTTCCAAAAGCATGGATATTTGAAGGTTGAAGTGTATACCGATGCAGATTGGCCAGGATCACTAGAAGATAGGAAAGTCTACCAATGGTTATTGTACCTTTGTGGGAGAAAACCTAGTCACTTGGAGAAGCAAAAAGCAAAATGTGGTGGTTAGATCTAGTGCTGAAGCTGAATATAGAGCAATGTCTCATGGAGTGGGTGAAATAATGTGGTTAAAAAATCTATTGAGTGAACTAGGATTTATAGTTGATGGACCTATGACTTTATATTGTGACAACAAGGCAGCCATAAACATTGCTGCTAACCTAGTACTGCATGATAGAACCAAGCACATTGAGGTAGACAAGCATTTTACAAGAGAAAAGGTTGTCAAAGGGGAAGTGTGCACCCCCTATGTCAGGTCCGAAGATCAACTTGCAGACATCTTCACAAAAGGGCTACATCATTTGTGGCACAACGATCTGTGACAAGTTGGGCATGATTGACATCTATGTCCCAACTTGAGGGGGAGTGCTAAAAGGGGTTATAAGTTGTTTTTTCTTTATGTTTTTATTTCTGTTGGTGTTGCAGGGGTACTATTGTAATTCCTCTCTCTTTATGTTATGTTTAGTCACCCTAATATAAGTACTAAAAAGCTGACGCCACCAGCACCTCTTTGAGCTCTCAAATCTCTCTTCTCTCCTCTCCCTTCCTCTCTTCTCTCTTCTCTTCACTTCAGTTTTTGGACAAGAATTGACAATTAGGAGCCCAAAAGTCTATGGAAGTAGCCCCAAAATAAAGCCCTGGGCTTCTATCTGAACTTGTGGTATTAGTGCCATGAATCCACTACAAAGTATGCTGAATGCAAAACTTTTAAACTCATATAGGAAYACAGGATATGTTAGCAGCTATTATAGCTGTACACCTGCAATGCCTTCCTTACATTTGTGAGACAGGATATTATCCAATAGAGCATTGGATACTGAATGGACACTACTGCATGGCATGAAGACTTCCATATATGTCAATGGTAAGTTTTAACAGATCATACTTCACAAATTTTATTTGATGTCAGAAGTCAATTAAATTTGGCAAGTATTGTCCTATTGAAAAATGATACTTATCTTAAATATAGAGGCGTGGTATAATCATATTATATGGGGATGCCCCTACTTGTAACCATTAATGGATGTCAAGAAATGAATAGTTGTATTCCTATTCCCATGTCCATATCTGGGCATTCTAGTATGATAGATGTTGTTAGGACCCATTGAATTGGCATTCTTTTGCAACACTAGAAAATTTGGTATTGTTAAGCTGGATACAACTGGGGTATTAGGGGCTTAGAGGCTTCACTCTAAGTATAATGTATCTTAGTTTATCAAGATGGTATTTGCCTTTTATTATTTCTTCTGCAATCTCTTTGTTCTTTATAAAAACATCTTCAAAATCCAGACATCAATATGGGTATGTTTAAATTGCTTATTTGAAATGTAAGCCTGCAGGTTTCATCATGTCAAATCTTTGGCTTCCACATTTTGTTGATGTGACATGGTTATGGAAATTTTTTGAAGTGTTTTGGTTGCCTAACTTTAAACTAAGACTTTTGATAAATAGCACTGTCTCATCTTCATTTATGTAAAATATGCATAATACATGTCAAACAAGCATTTTAAGTTTGATAATTCAATATCATTTAGCACAGAAGCACTATTCTTTTATATACACTTATCATCTTCCCTTTTTCTATTTCTATTTCTTTTGGTCCATTACAACCCGGGTGACCACAGTTCAGATATTGGAAACAGCCTCTCTGTGTATCTGCAGGGCTGCGCAAGTCTGTTCCTCCCCAGATCCTGCATTGGCTGCCTTATTCATGTAGCATCTAACATTTTGTTATTATCTGTCTATATTGGTTGCTCTGGTACTTCATCATAATCTTTACCCTAATGCTTATTCTAGTTTTCCTGTATTAATTAACTACCTCCTTTCTCATTGTGATATGTTATAGCACTAGAATTTGATTTTAGATTCTGTCAGTCCTTTTACTGAAAGAACCTATTCTTTTCCTTTTATGTTTCCATGCAGATTTCAAATGCATTTCTTCGACATTTTCAAGATAGCCGCATGCACATTCTTCTTAGTTTTGTAAAAGAAATGCCAAAGCCAGGAACAAGGATGAGACTTGACTTGTCTTATGTTCTWTCTCCACTTCTCTTTGCATGGGTCATCCAGTTACTATTCCCTGTATGTTTGGACTTCTTTTGTATTCTCACCTTGTTTATGAATATTTGCTAGGATTTAGATATACATGCTTGCAGAGGAGTTGCTCTATACATCTGTTTTCCTTAATTCTCAGGCAACTAATCTTTCCTTGGATGTTAAAATCTAATTGATAATGCATTTGTGTTGACTATGGTTGAGTTTGGTTTAATTCAAATAACTCCTAAGATGCATCAATTAGAAAAATTGTATCCCTAACTGTGCAAACTGTGCAAACTGACCATTTTCATTTTATCTAAATTTTAATTGTATCTATAACTTGTGAGCTTGAATACTTAAATGCCTTGGGGATTATTATTTCTTCTTTATTATATCAGAGACTATATTTACTTGGAATTGGATTTTTGGTATTCTAGGAAGAAACTGATAATTGATTAATTCATTTGAGATTTTTTGTTTGTTTGAATTTCATGTTTGGAAAAGTATGTTCTTATGAATTAAGTTGATAAATCACTTCTGATCCATTTTATCAGCCTTAGTATGATTATGGGGGTCCTATAATGATTTGACTACTTTATGGTATTGTGTAGGTTTTTTTCGTTTATTTGGTTAACGAAAAGCAGCACAGGCTGAGGATTATGATGAAAATGCATGGACTTGGAGATGGGCCTTATTGGTTGAATACTTATGGATATTTTCTTGTAATATCAATCACTTATATGATTTGGTTTGCCATCATTGGGTCCATTATAGGTAGGATATGCTTTCAAACATTGAACTTTGGCTCACCTGGGTTATAGGCCCTCTCTTATAGCAAAACTCTTATTCTTGCTTTTTCACAGGTTTGGAGATTTTCCTGTTGAATAATTATTCCATCCAGCTTGTATTCTATTTAGTTTATTTGAATTTACAGATTGCACTTGCTTTTCTAGCGGCAACTGGGTTCTCAGAAGTTGAAACAGCTAGAGGTATACCCAACTTCATCCCTCTCTTTCTTCCCTTTTAGCTACATATGATTTCAAAAGGTTTAAATAAGAGATTTCCATGATGCTTCCTTAATTCTATAAAGAAAAGACATCTAATGATATGTTAGTTGTGGTAACTTCCTTCAAAGGGTTATAAAGTCAGATTGGTTGAGAAGTAATAGGAGGATTTTAACTGTTTTGTCTGCAGTTAAATTTGATAACCAACAAAAGCATAGGAATATATAAGGTGGTCATTATAGATTTCCATGATTTACCTAGATGACTTAGGTTATACAAGGTTGCCATTTTATGTGAAGAGCTATTCTCTTTTTTGGACATGAGATGAAGTGGTAAGAAATGATTTGATGGCCCATAGTATAACAATGGACAGGGAACTGAACAGGGTGGAATGGCAGAACAGGATTCATGTAGCTGGCCCCATATGGCGGGACAAGGCTTGTAGTTAAGGTGATTTGGCAATGATCCATGATGATGATTAGTTTGGCTGAGTTACATCCTGGAACATGGCCAGCACCATCAGCATCACTCATTCTTATTAATAAATTTTGGATTTTAAGCAGCTTTGTAACCTAGGTGCCTTCTGTGCAGTTGCAGGCTATATGTATGTCTTTGGATCTGGACTTCTGGGTGCCTTCCTTTTCAAATCTTACATTGAAGACGCAACATTTTCAAGTACGTTCCAGAGGACTATATGTGGGATTACAAATTTTAATTCAAACTTCCAAAAGATTTTTCTCTTAGAGTCTTACTATTTTAGGGTGGCAGCTGATGTTTATGGAGCTGATGCCTGGATTTTCTTTGTACCGGGTTTTATATGAGCTTTCACAGTCTTCATTAGCAGGACATCACCTAGGAACTCATGGCATGAAGTGGGAAGACCTAAGAAACCCAAATAATGGCATGTGGGGCACTTTGATCATTATGACTTTGGAATGGTGGGGCTTGCTTGTTGTCTCTTACCTCATGGATCAAGTGATATCTTCAGGAAGTGGGATAGCCAGACATCCTCTATTTTTCTTGAGGAGCTTTTGGAAAGGAGATACACAGCTACCTACAATTTCAAGCTTCAAAGAGAAATCAATTGTAATTGTCAATTTGGAAAATCCTGACATCTCCGAAGAGGTAAATCTATTGTGGCAAGCATAATGGCCTATTTGACATTTTGTTTAGATGCAATTCTGGGGATATTCTAGTTATACTTGTTATTAATAGAACGACATGAAACCTGAGCATCAATGTACTCAATATACTGAATTCTGATTAGAGCATATACCTGATGATTTGGACCATCCACTAGGTGGTACACTTATTGTGTTTCAGTTAGCCAATGTAATTTTAGTAATGATTCCAGTTTATCTACTTGACCATTCACACTTAAAATACTGGCTACCTAAAGTAGTGGAACCACTTAAACAGTTAGCAAGTTCAACCATTTATCCTTCATGATGAAATTTAATTACTGCTGATCTATTTGATGGGTCAGGATTAATTATTATGCTACTGTTTGTTTTATGATTTTAGATTTATGGGTTAATTTCTGCTGTTATGTTATTATTATGCCTAAGATGTATTTGAAAGCTTTTCTGTAATAAACAGGAAAAACAATGACAATATCTGATCTTACATTTTAGTTTTTTTTCCCTTTGTAGAGATATATAGTTCAACAGCTAATGAAGGAACCAAATGGAAGTTATCCAATTTTTTGCCATAACTTGAAGAAAGTTTACATGGGAGAAGATGGAAACTCAAGGAAGCACGCAGTCCAAAGTCTGTCTCTTGCTGTTCCTCAAGGGGAATGCTTTGGTTTGCTTGGCCCTAATGGTTCCGGAAAGACCACTTTTATTAATATGGTCAGTACTTTAATACCTTCAAACTCCTGAGCGAACAATGCTTTGAAATTTGTTTGATGGTGCAATTTATCTTATGTGCTGCATTCACTATATGTTGAAGTAGAATATTTGCTCTCCATGTATATTGAACCATTATATGGATTATGTGCCTTACAGGTCACTGGTTTTCTGCCTCCGACATCTGGTGCTGTATTCATTGATCATATGGATATCATATCAAATATGGAGCATATTTACACAAGAATAGCAATTTGCCCACAGAAGGAGTATGAGATTTTCCCCCATAATTTAGATATTTTCTTTTATATGGAGTTGTATCTTACTGCATAAAAGCTGACAAACATTTCATAAATATAATTAGATATAAAGGGACATATTCATGAGAATGTGGATTTATCTGAGAGCAGCCACTGTGCAAAAAAATGCCTAAAGTTAGGCATGTATCCAGTCCACCCCCCCAAGACCCGGGATGGCCAGGATCACCATTGGGTAATGGCCCTTTAGGCTATCTTGGTTCGAAGGAAAAGATAGGGAAAGGAAGGAAAAAGTAGGGAAACCCATACAAACCCTTGTATTGGAGTGGCGAAACAAAAAACAAAATGTTGTGGCTGGGTCCCGTGCTAAATCTGAGTACTGGGCAATGTCTCATGGAATGGCTGAGATCATGTGGATAAAGAACTAATTGAGTGAGCTAGGGTTTACAGTTGATAATCCCATATCCTTATATTGTGATAACAAGGCTGCTATCAACATTGCAGCCAATCCTGTTATTCATGATAGAACCAAGCATATTGAGGTAGATAAGCACTATATCAGGGATAAGCTTGTTAGCGGAGAAGTGTGTACTCCCTATGTCAGTTCACTAAGGGCTTACATCACTTGCGGCATAATGATTTGTGTGACAAGTTGAGCATGATTGACATCTATGTCCCAACTTGATGGGGATTGGGGAGTGTTAAGATGCTCTAATATTTTTATATTTAGGCTCAGTTTGGAAGGAGTACAAATACAAGTATGTACAGTACAAATGCATACAAAATAGTACAAAATACATAGTTTTGCACTCTACATATTTGTATTTATACTCTTTCCAAACTAAGCCTTAGTGCCTCATGCATGCGCACTGTTGTAATTTCTCCTTTATTTTTGATTGCCCTAGTATATATACTACTTCCAGCACCACCAGCATGCATTTCCTCTCATTCTTCTCTTCTCCACTCATTCTTCTCTTCTTTTCTTCTTTCTACTGATTTTTCCCAGAACAATAGTCTTCATGATAAATATATATAGGAAAATCAAGGTTAAATGACTTAGAAAATTTTCATATCAGTATCCTTCTTTGGATAAGTTTTGGCAATTAGGAATTGATTAGCTGTATGAATCTCCAATAGGATTGAGCATTTACATCACCAAAAGCAGCATATTTTCTGCTTCAAACTAGGTGTCTAACAATATGATCATCTTTTTCCTTAAATATCTATCTTTTTCTTCTGTGATTTTTTTTTTCATTTCTCTTATTTTAATAGGTTGTATGACCATGAATGTGTTTTCTTTTCTTTATTTTCCTTTAATATTAGCATTTACTGCAGCTTGCTTTGGGAGACTTTATCTGGAAGGGAGCATCTCTTGTTCTATGGTAGACTGAGAAACCTGAAAGGCAAATTGTTGCATGATGTAAGTTGGCTTATGTACAGTTGTTTTTCAGATCATATATCTATTGGGAGACATAAAAACGAAAAATTGTTGGCTTTGCATTTTGAGTATTACAGGCAGTTGATGAATCATTGAGAAGCATGAATCTCCATGACAGTAACATAGGTGACCAACTTGTCGGAAGATACAGTGGTGGAATGAAGCGAAGGCTCAGTGTTGCAATTTCCCTTATTGGATATACACAGGTATGTATGGAAAATACTGAGCAATTTAGTATATTGACTATTTATAGATTGTTTGGTATTCTTAGGTAGAGGGTTTAAGAATCAGAGTATCAGGACAAGTGCATGATTACAAGGGATGAACTTTAGGAGAAAGAGATCTCAATACTAGATAATGGTGATCATCCAATCATGTTGATCCTTCATCTTGGAGTTYTCATAATGGGATCATCCAATGATGGTTCCTTTATTCTGTGCATGTTCACATATCCTAATATTGCAATTATGAACTTGACTTTCATTTATATTACTACCTTCCATTCATCATCTTTAATATGGCAAATCTTTTCTGCAGGTTGTTTTTTTGGATGAGCCCACAACTGGCTTGGATCCACAGTCAAGAAATATTGTCTGGGGTGCTGTAAAACGAGCAAAGGCAGACCGTGCTATTATTCTTACAAGTAAGCCTTTTATTTGCTTATCAAATAACCAAAGCTAAGTGTGGTTTAAAAAGATAATCAGAAAATTGCCTTGTTTTGGGTTCTATTTTATTTACTTTTATGCAAATTCTCATTTTTTGTTTTCTTTTATCAATAACAAAGACAAAGAATTATCCAAAATAAAAAGGATACAAAGCTAAAGATACTTTGAATCACAATTTGGGCCTCAGGGTACAAGAAAAGAGTTTTTGAGATTTTTTTACTCCAACTTGGAAATTTAATCTTCCATATTCCTAGAAAATGGCAATAATTTGCTCTATGGCCTAAAGTAGTTTTTTCTAAAGATATCAAAGTGGTTGTTGAGGGGCCATTGTTTGGTGTAGCAGTAAAATCTTGAGATGACAAGCAATGCGGGTTTGAATCTAAGACTTTGTGAAAAATGCCAGAGGTTATATCTGTATCCAGTCCACCCCTCCCAAGACCTCGGATGGCTGTGACCAACATTGGATAGTGGCCTTTTATACTAAAGTGGTTCTTTGGATACTGAACTTTCTTCCAATGAATTAAGGTAGCTTTCTAATGCAATGAATTGACATGAATGAACAGCACACTCGATGGAGGAAGCAGAGTTTCTCTGTGATCGCATAGGAATCCTTGTAAATGGCAATTTACAGTGTCTTGGAAGCTCAAGGGAGGTAAGCTATCTCTTGAAAATGGATTTAGTTGAGGTTTTGATCTTGATAATTATCCGCCTCTACAGTTGTTTTAATGGCTATTATTTTATATTGGTTAAAGTTAATATTACTATAGTAATAAAAGCATCATTTAAACATTGCAATTGTTCATAATGTAAGTTTTATTTTCATTTATAAAGTAAATGTGTATGACCCAAAACCATTAATATTGTCTTTTATTAGAATCACAATTATCAAATATCAAGAAAAATATTTTTTATAATAAAGTATTCAAGTCATCCATAATAAGCAAGACTTTTCTTTTGGTATTTCAATTGTGATTTTTATTGTATTTTTAATTCTTGTCAAGATCTGATTCCTCCTTTTTTTGCAGTAATCTTTTTTTATCATAATTTTATAGATGATTGCAGTTCTCAATAACCAACTTCTTAATTCTTCTATAAATGGAACATCCATATTTATGGTGCCCTTTCAAAAAATTCAATGGCCTAGATTATCTGTTAAATCATAGTATGCACATGCTTTTTGATTGTGCCATTTGATGCCTCCATGCTTGGGGATCCTTGCTATATTCTTTTCAGGCTCTCCAATTTTGGGCCTGGGAGTTTTTCTGTATATGGTCCAGTTGAGTTGGACCTACAAGTCTCAGATGTGGGCGCCTAGTAAACTCCTTTGTTTCTTAAGGGTTATTTTCTCAAATTGATTTTTTTTTCTTCTTTTTGGTCCTGCAGCTTAAATCAAGATTTGGAGGATCATATGTGCTTACAATATCAGTGGATCCCATTCATGAGAAGGATGTTAGCTCCATGGTTAATAGTCTTTCTCCAAATGCAATGAAAATCTACAACATAGGTGGAACACAAAAGTTTCTTCTGCCCAAGCAAGATGTTAGGATTTTCCAAGTGTTTCAGGCTGTTCAAAACTTTAAGAGAGAGGCCAGTGTTCATGCATTTGGGTTTTCTGATGCATCTCTAGAGGATGTCTTCCTTAATGTTGTTCAAAAGGCATCTAGTCGAAGAGTTCCTTCGAATTTAAGACATTAGTTGAAGTTTTTGGTCACTAGCAATTTTTGTTGGTTAATAGAGGAGCATTAACATAGCCTTGGTTTCAGCTGCTTTGATTTTTTTAATAAATTATGAAGTTTAGTCTTATCAAGCACTCGGTAAAATCTAAAGCATCAAATAAATGGATTACATATAAATGTAAGAGCGGTCTAATATTGATCAATAGGCAGAATGTTAGCGGTGTTGTACTTTAAGATTCAATATCTCTAAAAAATCTAAATCTGTTTGTCATATTGAATTTTCTTTTTGGTAGGATTGTCATATTGAATTTAGGACATTGACTTGTTTTGGATCCAACGTTTAAAATATCGACATACACTATACGAAAAAAAAATTGCATATCGTGTTCAAACAGTGGATGTTTAATTTTTCTTTTTTATTTTTTTTCAGCTTGATCATCGACAGAAGGCTACTGAAGATGACTTCTAACATCTGAAACAATCAAAACCCCATCTCTCAGTATTTGACCTCCGATTCTGATTCAATACGCACAATACAATGCGATACATATTTGTACTTTGAACCTTGGTTTGATCATTGGGTCATTGGTTGAGTTGTTCAACTACTAAATTGTTTAAATAAAAATGTCAAAGCATTTAATAGATCAAAAGAATAGCAAGGAATAAGAAATACAAACTAAGAAATTCATTCATACAAATGCTCAAAATACAAACTAAGAAATTACAAGGAATAAGAAAAGCCAAAACAAGGTGACCTAGAAACAAACATAATCCATCACCATGCATCAAACCATAATTGTTGATCCAGAAGATAGTATATGGAGCACTGGGAGAGGAAATTCATGAGAGCTATACAAATAGCACAAACGTCATGGAAACACTAAAACAAACAAGGTTTGGACTTTGGACCCTAGTCATTAGTTTGAAAGACCATAAGTCCACCGCTATATCATATTCTGAATTTCTGATTGCTTGTCATAATTGTATGCATTATACTCTTATCTTAATTTTTATCTTTTTAGTGGATATTTGTTCATGAGTGTAAAAATTGACTATTGAAATGGAAAATTCTCTGTTGCCAGGAAGGGCTTTGATCAATTGAAACCCCCCATGAATTTTGATAAATAATACCTGATTGGTTACTATATTGGTCAGTTTTTCCGATATCATGTCTTTCAAGTATCATTATCAAACCTACTAAAATCTATATTTTATAAATATTAACACAAATTATACTGATTTTCTGAGAAATAAAGTATGTTCATATATATATATATTAGTTATTTCATCATTTTCCAACGATTACAAATTGTGTCTTAATATTTCATACTTTATAAAAATCATTTAAGTATTCTTTTTTATGTATGAATAAATTAATTATAATCATACAACTTATATTTATTATTATGAATATATTATTTTTAGGATATATTTAAGTTTCCTAATGTATTTCTTGGCTTTAAATGTTTTGAATGGAAAGTTATGAATTGACATTATCCTTGACAAAACATAATAACCAAATAATGAAATGAAAAATGAGTGTTGGTTGGTTAAACTCTCAATATGCAAATTTTGTGTATTAAAAGTATCAACAATTCTTGCAACCTTCCAGGTAAGCACAGTACATTGGTGTTTTTACTTAGAAGATGTTTAGTATTGTTGTGTTGCACAAGATTAATTTGTGTTTGCGTTTGATTTTACATTTTAGGATTAGAAATCAAGAAAGTAGAGTATTTTACATGATTTGCAATCTACTTATTTTTTGTTGTTTTATCACACGTAAGTGTTATTAGGTGGCATTGGTACTTGAAGTGAAAATGCCCCAACATGAGGAAATATCCAAATGTTGTTTCCTTACATAATTGAAGAAGAAAGGCAATACAACAAGGTTTTTAAAACCGAACTGGACAGGCAATCATTCTGAGTCCGATTTTCAGGTCGAATAGTTCGATCATTCAAATCAAATAGATAGTTTATTCTGACAAAAAAAAAAAGTGACATAGATGTACAAATCAAAAGGTGACATACAATGAGGATCATATTAGTTGTTAAGCTCTCTTCATCCCTTTGAAATATATATTCTTTTTCATTTCTCTCCCCTCCAACCTTCCAATAAAAACAAATAACCTTTAACTGATATGTGAGTAAGGGAGTCTATTGGAACTCCAAGTTAGGGCCTAAGGAGTGTCAATGGAGTCTGCTTCTCGGAAGACAAAAACTATGACCTAATTACACTCATTAGTCCAGGGATTTAAAGCCAACCCAATAAAATGATTAAATTATTAATAAATAATACTTTCGAACCATTTGATAACAGCTTAATTAACAAAATGATTTATTTCGTCGTTTAGTGGATAAAATAGTCATGTAATAAAATACTTGGGGCTATAGAATCTCCCGTACCCGGCGCCTCACAGGTACGGGACATCTCCCGTCCCGTACTAATTAGTTATTCACGAGAGATCGGACCGGATCTGTTCCTCACACCTGGCGCCTCACACCTTGCTATTCACGAGAGACAAAAACTATGACCGAGATTGGATCAGCTTCTCACATTTGGCGCCTCACACACACATCCTATCATGCATTGGAAACATTGTTAATAAATCATATTCATAAATTTAATAATTATTAGTATATTAAAAATAACTAAATAATATTGTTAAAATTATCATTAATGATTATTTAATTAAATAGTATAATTACTTATTATTATGGATAAATATTATTAATAGTGCTCTGACAATTGACGGTTCGACCGTTTGGTTTGAACGGGTGGCCCGTTCTGACAACAAAAATTACAAGTAAAAAATTATGGAACCATTCTGGCCACCGGTTTTCGGATCGACGGTTCAATCATCCGGTTCGAATGGACAATCCGTTCTAACAACAAAAATTATAGGCAAAAAATTGAGTTTGTGATGTCCATTAAGTAGTATCATACGTGTTATGTCATTTGAGCGTGTCTCATACGACCCAAAAATGAAACCGTTCTAGCCACCAGTTTTTGGATCGACAATTCGACCGTTCGGTTCAAATGGACGGCCCGTTTTGACAATAAAAAATTATAAGAAAAAATTTACGGAACCGTTTTGGCCATTTGTTTTTAGGTCAACGGTTTGATTGTCCGGTTCGAACGGACAATCCGTTCTGACAACAAAGATTACAGGCAAAAAACTGAGTGTGTGAGGTCCATTGAGCAGTATCATACATGTTATGTCATTCGAGCGTGTGACTCATACGACCCAAAAATGGAACCGTTCTATCCACCGTTTTCAGGTCGACGATTCAACCATTCGATTCGAATGAATGACCCGTTCTAACAACAAAAGTTAAAAAAATAAAAAACAGCCAAAAACCATTGAACAGGTCAATGGATTAACAGTTCGACCATTCAAGTCAATGGGTCGTTGACCGATTCAATGGTTTTTGGCCAAGGACCAGGATTGGGATAAAATGGAACTGATTGTCTGGATAGTTTCTGATGATGCGCGATCCAGTCTGTCCTAGCTGTCAGTTACCTCGCTTCTGACGAGATCGGAGGTGCTTGAAACAAGGAAGAAAATGGAGGCTTCCGGGGAGGAACCCAGTTGGAACACTCCGAAGCTCATGTTAGTGTTCTTCAGAAGGCAAGGGAAATGAAGAATTCTAAGACCAGAAAACGCAAGAATCACACATACCCCTTCTTTGTGGGATGGGGGCCTTTTATAATTACCTTGTACACACTTCCATGCCTCTGCTAGTTCGGGCATCATTACCTCTGCCAGATCGGGTCACTTCCTCTGCCAGTTGCCAGGGCTGCCTTTGTCCGTCTGGGATGGCGGTGGCAGGTGGCCGTTGGATGGCGGCTGTCATGTGTTGGTCCCCTAATCAGTCAGGTGCACCACCTTCAGGTGCGGTCTCCTGGGTGTTAGGTACGGTTGTTCAGTCAAGCGACTTGGAGCCGAAGTGGTGCGTGAGGTGAAGTCTTGAGTTCGGATAGAAGTATGGCCCGAACTGTCCCTGGGCGGGTAGTTCGGGGTTTTTTTCCTTTGGTGCTCCTTGTAAGGCTCAGGACCTCGAAGGGAGAGCTCGGGACTCCTTAGTTTGGAGCTCGGTTTGTAGGTTCCTTCGAGGGAGCTTGGCTCTCTTTAGTTCGGAGCTCGGGTTGCAGGTTCCTTCGAGGGAGCTCGGCTCTTTAGTTCGGAGTTCGGGTTGCAGGTTCCTTCGAGGGAGCTCGGCTCTTTAGTTCGGAGCTCGGGTTGTGGGCCTAATGCCGTGCCGAGTTGGCGTTTCTGCCAGGTCACTCTCAGTTGCTTCCACGTGTCGCATGGCCGAGGGGTCGGGTCAAATCTTCCTCCATCAGTTTCCAATTAAGAAAAAAAAAAAAAACGGACGACCCATTCTGACAACAAAAATTACATGCAAAATATTGAGTGTGTGAGGTCCATTAAGCATTACCATACATGTTATGTCATTGGAGCATGTGACTTATACAACCTAAAAATGGAACTGTTCTGGCCACTGGTTTTTGGGTCAACGGTCCGACTATTCAGTTTGAATGGATGGCCCGTTCTGATAATAAAAATAAAAAAATAAAAAAAAAACAACCCAAAACCATTGAATGGGTCAATGGTTCGATTGCCCGGATCAATGGGTCGTTGACCAATTCAACGATTTTTGGCTACGAACCAAGATTAGGATAAAACGAAATCGATTGCCTGGATAGCTGATTAAAAAAATAAAAAATAACCAAAAACCATTGAACGGGTCAACGGGTCAATGGTTCAACTACTTAGGTCAATGGGTTATTGACCGATTCAACGATTTTTGGCTAAGGACCGGGTCAACCGATCGACAGATTGATAGTTCCATTCCAGCCCCTGTGAAGCAGGGTCCCTACGCCTAGTTATTATTATTATTATTATTATTGCTACTACATTTAATATTTATGAGTTGATTGGATTGGGCTCCAGCTGAACCGGTCTTGACCTATTGACCCGGTTATAGATAGGGTCCAAGTTTTGGACAACCCAAACCAAAGCAAACATACTTCACTCCGGATCCTGTTTGGACTCGAAGGGATTTTCTCTTCGAGTCCACTAAAATTTTGACACGTCAATCGGTGCTCAATTGGCCATCACCTGCAACTAGTTGAAGCTTTATGACTGATAAAATATTTTTAAATAAAAAATTGAGGAAGAAAGAATGCTCATGGTCCGGTATGAGCTCTACTCTGATATGTGAGTATACCACGACAACCACTATGCCAACCGGTGAATCAACCCCGGCACGTGCTCGTTGAACAATATACCTAAAACCTTTGACATCGTGTCATGAACATTCACCCCCAACTTCTCCACCTGCACCTTGAACCTCACAATCCTGACTCTCAGTCCTGAGAACGAGAAAACCTTCACCAAAGCCACCTGGCTGTCCTCCATCACGTTCACACCCATCTCTCCTATGTCATAAGCACTTAGCATCACTAGCGCAGTACCCAGGCTGTGGCCTGTCATGTTTATGCCCAGTTCCTTATCTGGGTATTGATGCATCAGCCGCTTGATCTGCTCCCGAGCCTAGTACTTGCAGAACTAACATGAAAATGTTATTGTACCATACAGCGAGATACCACTTGGTAGAATTGCCTGGACTGAAAAAGCCTAAGGATTCATGTCAGCAAAATCGATGAGGAAAATGAAACAATAATAGAACAGAACACCCCTAAACGATTCTTTTGATATTGAAATCTTATTTGTTTTTTGGTTCTCTTTATTTCATTTTGCCATTTGGCTTGCCAAAACAGGGGTAAACTATAGTTGTTATTGATTCTGAGAACAGAGAAGAAAACGTGAGGGCTTTAGATTTTTTTTGTCGCGTATAAAGAAGAAGATTTGCATGGAAGAAGAAGAAGAAGACAATCTTGTGTCTTGGGTTTGTCTTGCAGATCCAAAGTCACAACTGCAAGAAGACTTTATCTTCCCATTTATGGTTGGAGTTTTTTGAACAACGAATACAGGTTAATTCAAACAACAAATGTAAAATAGCACAAAAAAAAATACTCAATAGATAAGAAGAAAAGAATTTCCAAACATTCATAGAACATTACTATTTGCTGGAATTAAAAAATAAAAAAAAAAAAAAAATGATTGTATCTGGCATTCAAGAAGGAAAGATGAAAAACCCTAGACATAAATATCAGCTTTCCTCGGAATATTCTTGATGTTTGAAACTTTTCGCTAACACCGCTGCTGCTGCCGTTAAAATCTACAATCGCCGTGTTGCCCGTCGCTGTTCTGTTGTAGGTTGAATACCGTTGACGAAGGCTTGTTGCTGTTAATGGTGCTGCTGGGTGAAAAAGGTTAAGAGTATGAGAACGTGAGGGCTTTGGAAATTTCTATCGTATTAGGTGGCACGTGTACTTTTTTTTTGTTTTGAAGAATGAGGGATTATCCAATAATATCCTTGAGTTGACCAAGTTACAACTGTCGACGTTAAAAGTAAAATATTGGACATTCGAAAGCTTCATAAGCGGAGAAGACGAGATTAGCAGTTCCTCCTGCAAATGCAAAGGACGAACCAAAACAGAATAGAAGATGGAGAAAGAGAACGATAGAGTAGAGATCGAAGTCGAAGACAAACCTAATATCAGCGATAAAACTCCACGGACCCCTAAACTTAAATCCGTCAAGACAAAAGTTCCAGAGGTGGAAGTCCACCTCTATCAACGAGGCAAAGGCCCAATCGAGATCTTCAAATCCAGTTTAGGAGGTTGGGACCAAGATCGCTTGGAGGTCCACAGCATTCTCGAAAAATATGGATTCAAATCCATTTACGCATTTAATCCCAGTTCTCGAAGAAGAAGCGTTCCGATTCGTTTCAATTCTAAAAATGGTAGATCGTTGCTGTCATACGAAGACGGATCCGTCGTCTTCATTGATGGAGAACCAAAGGTGATGTCATCGTCTTCCTTTATTTTCTTCCTTTGTTTAGTTTTCAGTTTTCCTAACATCATATTGTCATCGTAGATAGATAATGAAATGCAAACTTAAGGCCTTGAATTGAATTGGATGAGAATATTTGTCCTTTATGGGAAAGAAAATAACTATGAAGATTACGAGAATTAAAGCTGTCTTGATTTCAGAAGATATTGAAGAAATCAAATACTTTTTCTTTTTTTATAACATAAACTATAACGTAGGGGTTTAGCTGGTTGTTGCATGAGGAAGATTAGTAGGACTGCTTATTCATGAGTGACAATCTACGGAATTCAGGCCCAACCCTAAATTTGTGTTTGGTTTGATAGAAAGTAAAGAATTTTCCCTCAACTTTCCGCAGCTCTCTAATTTTCTATCAAACCAATCACAGCTTAAAGTTGCAAACCTCGGGTTAGGATTGATTCAACCTGAGTTTAAGTCCAAGTTTATCAACTCAGCCCAATTCGAGCTTAACCTAATACAACTTGGGCCAGGCTCAGGCTTGGTTGGGTTAGTTCAGGTTTAACCAGGCTTAAGGTGGGTTGGTAAGCTCCAATGAATTTATAAATATATTTTTATATAGTCATCTTTTGTTCAACTTTATGGCCCAATTTAAGAGCAGGATGGTCGAAATAAAATTGTGCAAATTTAATTTATAAATGTATATTACATATTTTATACACATGTACATGTATATATGATTAGAAAAAAGATATGATGAAATAAAAGCCAAGCTCGAGCTAACCCAAATTTAGGTCAAGCCTGAGTTTTCTGACCTAAACCCAATCCTAGCACGAAAGCTCACCCCCTAAGTCCCAACCCATAGATTAAGTTGTGTCAGGCTCTGAATGGGCCTACTTAACTTGCAACCCTATTTTCAACCTACAATTAGTGTGTGTTTTGTTTGGTGGACATTTCGTGATTGGCATTTATTAAAACACCGTCGTATCATCGCCAAATCAATATTTTTCTTATCATGTTCATCCGTACATATTGATATTCACAAAAGTGAGTTTTGATTTATGTGTGCATCAATTGTTAGGAAAAGTTTCATTTTAATGCTTCTCCCAACAGTTGAGTGTTTATTCACTGTTTTGTTGATGTAATGCCTAATAGCACCAAGTGATGCCTAATTGTCAATAAACACTTTATCAAGTACTTTTCTTAGTTTTAAAGACAAATCAAGAGACCCAACCCATTTTATGATCAGGATTTTGGGTCAACTTCACCACCAAAGTGCTAGTCAAGAGACCTAATAACTTAATCAATTCAACTATTTGACCTAGTTAGTGGGGTCATGGTGATATATTAATTCTTCTTTTTTTCTGATTTTTAGTATCCTATTTCTATCATTAACAAAAGTGTTTATTATTTATGACATTTATTTTGTTCAATATCATAAATATATAATATTAGATGTATCCGATTTTTTTTTACAAAATTTTTGTATCCCTATCGATTTTTTAATTTTTATTATTTGAAACTATATAATTGAACCACTGAATAACCACTAATGAAACCACCCCACAAATTTTAACTTTACTGTATACTTACAACAACTTAAAACTTCCAACACCCCCATTTATGACAACATACCTCCCTTATGATATCAATTCCTCTACTGTAACTGTTGTACTATACAGTGAAGTAAATGTATGAGATAGGGGTAACTTTTAAATCATAACGTATCTTGGGTCGTCTTCTTCTCTCTTCCACAGACCGGATTTACAACAATAAAAAGACAATTATAGAAGGTGGGGTTGTGTACTATATAGATTTTAATCAGATATTTAGGCCTCGTTTGCTTTTGAATAAATTATTTATCAGGGTAAATACACAAGTTATCCGGGTAGTATTTCCCAGAAAGATCTATCATAGCAGAGACTTGGGACTAAATCTTGCCTGCACATGGGTTAGGGGATAGGCTACCATTGTGTAGCCCTTCAAAAGAAATCTATATATGAATGAAAATTTATAGATTTTCAGAAACAATGGAAAGATAATTTTAATGATCTCTTTGGTTTAAAGGAAAACACGGAGAAGGATTAAGAATTCTAGTTATCTGCCCCACTAAGATGTTTGTATCTATACTACCCTCCTGGTTGGCTGGCTAAGCGATAGACTTTCAAAATACCTAGAAGATCTCCCAGGGGATGCCCGGGTAACTTTTAACTACACTGCCTTTTATCTTATTCAGATTTATTTCTTGCAGGATTCCATGATCAATCCTATAACAAAGATGTTCATTGGGATAGCTGTTGTTACCGCTTTCATAGCTATCCTTTTTAAGGAATCTCCAGACTGGATAAAGAGATTCAACTTCTTGGGTGTGAGCATCCCTCCATGGATTCTTGCTTGTGTTGTTATAGTTTTTACTCGCTTGAGGAAGAGACTAAAGATGTATTGAAAAAGTATGATTGGTGAATAGATGTAATTGATACTTATCAGAGAATAATGAGCTATTCTTTTTTATATATTTCCTTTCTTCAATGATTTAATAATTCTTTATAAGGTTTGATGGTATATGCCATGTTTAATGGTGCTTGGGGAAAATTTGAGAATATTGGAGGGATATATACAGTGAAAGTGATATACGAGGCAAATATTACCGATCCACACCTGATACAAATGAATGGGCACCAAACCTAATCCACCAGTGCCATATGTCGATCTCTGCAAAAATGGATATGATATCATCCTACGTCCAGTATATCCATGGCAATTGAAGGCGTGCGCAATTGTAGTTATGACTAACAGCACTTTGTAGTCTGTCCCCTCTAATTCCTCTTGACCAAAAAATCAAGCAGACAAGTCTTATCTTCCTAGCTTTTAGGTATTTTCTTATTCTTTAAAATAGCTTATCCATTATGCTCAGTTTGGAAGGAGTATAAATACAAATATGTACAGTGAAAATATATATAAAATAATATAAAATTTAAGGTTTTACACTCTATGTATTTATATTTGTACTTCTTCCAAACTGAGGCTTAGGGATAATTTCTTTATATTTTTTTTTATTTGGAACTTTCCTACTATTATCACTGGATAATTAAGCTATTTGTATTCAAATTTGTATGAACCAAGTTGAAAACTAGTTCAAAATGAAACAATATGTAAGATGTGTTGTGAGCAAATTAGGTTTCGCCCTTTCTTGGGAGGCAAATATTCTCACTCCAAAAGATGATGTTTTCTTTTTTTTGTATACATACATTCTTACATGGTGTTTGGAAGTGTGGACGTTTTTTGGGACTGATTTTCAAGAAAAAGTGTCCATGCTTCCAGGACCTGTTTTTCACAAAAAAAATGCTTATGCCACATAGGCACTAAGCAACATTATACTGTTTGGTAAGGTAATTTTCATCACCATTTTTCATGTATGTACTGACAGGTAAGTACCACAGGATATATCAGTCAATCGATGGGGAAAACAAGTCACGGATGCATGAAATGCCAAACATCCCCTATGTGGATCAGTAGGGTCCCAATTTTCAAGACATGCGGATGTTTTAATAATCGGCTGAACCAAACAATGAGATATATGGGTATTTATTGAAATACCTATGTGGATCCGATGTAACACCGTTTCTTTGAAAAACGGCCACGGTTCCAAATATTCCCTTAAAAAGCATGTTTAAAAAATCGAATTATTTAAGGTATCCAAATTTGACAAGACATGAAGGTGGCAGTTGGATCTTGGATAGCAATGAAGCGCACAATAGAAGACGGAAAATGTGTTTTTAAATAAATTAATCAAGAAATTGAAAATAAATAATGATCTGAAAGAAAGTGCCCGAGAAATAAATAATACGGAAATGGGGATGTCTGTACAAGTAGAATGAAGGGCAACCCATTGCACGAGGCTCCCCGCCAAAGTAGGGACTCCCCAGTGGGGAGGGACAGATGTCTACAGCCTTACCCCAGCAGAAGTGCAGATCGGAGACTGTTTCCAAGATGCCTGTACAAGTTAATGGAAGAAAATCACACTTTTTTATTCTTGCAAGAAAAGCTTTTGCCTGCACATGAATTTTTTTCCCCAGATTCTGTTTTATCAAGAAATCTATTGCGTTCCTAACCATGAGACACTTCACTGATCCATAACATTCTTTTTAGTTGTTACTGCAGAACTCCTATTTAAATCTAAGATTGAAGATGGAAAACAAAATGAGAATTAGTTGGTCGTAAAGAAATGGCTTTTACTTTCAGTTTGGGACATCAAGTACTCAATCATTACACATCCAACCAAATCATTAGCAGACACCCCCTTCTTCAGCCAAAAGTGCACTTACAAATGTGAACCAAGTAATGAGCAGGTTACTTGCAAATAGGAAAAGAAAATAATCAAAACTACATATATACTCCTCACTTTATCCCCAACCACTCTGGGCAAAACTATTGGTTAATGTTTTGTATACTCTCTGCAACAATAGACAAAGACAAACTAAACATTAATATCTGACCGCTTTGATCTGGTGCTACCAATCTCTGGGGATCCATTCAGAATGAATCTTGGGATGCTGTAGTTCTCGGATGCAGTTACTGGCTGCTGAGGATAAAGTGTGGGAGGCGGTGTGAGATTCCGTTGAGCTGGAAGAGGAGGGAGTGCATTGTATTTGTAAAGATCACCGCTTCTGCAGACAATTAGGAAATCTAGTAAGTTTGTTTGGAAAATAAGGTGGTTATTAAAGCAGCTCCACATCTGTTATTCTTTATACATTACAGAATACTAGATAAATGAATAAACAATGAATTTTACAAGAACAGGCATAGCAGGAATAAGTGGGTAAAACTTAGGATTACTAGATTAGACCAAAAGAACATCTTTACCAATGGTATGGTATAGAAAACTTCCTAGTCAAACAACTAGAAAAATAGAAATAAGTGAAAATATATGATGCAGTTCAAATTTAAGATAATGAAAGAAATTTGCTCGAAGAAATAGAAAAAAGAAGGAAATTGGACAGAACCTCATTAATATGAAATGCCTTACAATATGAGGCGACTTACAATATGAGGCAACAAGATTGGGGAATTACTTACCCAAAGAAGAGGGGACTCACTCATCCAAGAGAGGACTCTCTCAACTCTCAAAGAAAGCTTTAAGCTTTTCAAAACAAAGGGAATAACTTGATGCCTCTAGCTTGAGATTACAAGGCTTTATATAGAGAACAAAAACTCATTGGAGCATTAAATCAAAAATTAATTATTAGAGCTTTTCATGAAAAACTAGTTGTTAGAAATCCACTAATAACTAGCCATATGATTCTATATTTCTTGGACTATGATTATGGAGTGCATCAATATAGCTCCAAAGTGCAAATAGAAGAAGAATTCAAGGACATAATAGTTGCCAAGAAGTCAGCCAACTCAGAAAAGTTTAAGTTTACCATGCATTAAAAGTTATAAAACCTTGAAAAAAAGAAAAAAAAAGTTCTAAAACCTTGATTGAGATTTATGCTGCAATCAGAAGGTAAAATCCAGTTTAATTCCAATTAATTTCCAGACATTGTCAACTTCACATTGCAAAAGCATTTAATTTGTCAGAAAGATGCATTTTTAATGAAAACTTTCTCAGCAACTACAAATGATCCCCACTAAAATAACAAGAACGCAAGGTTTCGGCTTTCCTCATGTGACACATTGTTACTGGATGGGTTACAATGACAAGAATCCTATCCTCGACAAATTTCCCACAGCCTAGACGTTAGTGATCTTTCTCCACTAGCAGTGGAGGTACTTACTCTTTCACAAGTCCTATCATCAACCTTGGCATTCAAGTAGTTATCAATCCATCTCAAAGCGCAATAGCAAGAGCCTAAAAGCTGCCTATTAAGGATATAGAAAACCCTCCAAGGACCCATCCCGGAACCTTGAACCCATCTGGTTGGGTTGGCAATTTTTCCTTCTAGCAAGAGTGATGATGCACTTTGAAAGATAGCACTCCTTAGGCCAAGAAGGATGGCCACCTGCCATCAAATCTAAACCTAAATTGTTCCCTGAATGATTGATTATGGACCACGAAAACAGGATAAGGTGAATAAAAATTGCAAGGGGGCTTGTCAAACCTCATCAATGCTAATACCCAATCCCCAGGAGGTCACCAAGAATAAAATTTTTAGGCATTAGCAGGTGGATTTCTTTTCAAAGGTTCTTCAATTTCCAAAGACACTTCTGCAAACAGCTCTAGCTCTATGCTTTACACTTTCCTGTTCAGAAGGAAATTCCTCCAGAATTGTTCCCAAAAGTACACACACACCACATCAACAGCTTTGATGTTGATGTTGCAGCATATATCACAAGAGAGACAATGATTTTTTTCAGTTGATGTTGCATAAACCATGCACAATCAAGTTCTCATACCTGCACAATCAAAAGTTCAAAGCAAGTTTTAAAGGAAAACCAATGCCAAACAACCTCAAGCTTTTGCTGAATATTCTTGGGGGAAAAAGACATTTGGGGAATTGGGGAAGGAAAGTCTATAACTATATACCACCACCTACACCATTAAACAGCTTCCAGATTTTTTATATGGCAGAAAAAGCAGCTATATGGGTAAAAGTTCTGAGGATATGGTTGTTGGGCATAAGCATAAACCTTGTATCATTGTGGAAATCATCATTATCACTCAAATTTTCGCCTGAGCGATGGAAGGGTCTCTGAACTGGTGTCATAGACCATGGATTTGGCGCAGACAAGTCATCCGGAAAATATCTTCTCTTGATCAACTGGAGAAATGGACAACTAAAATCAGACTCAAAGAGTAATACAAAAGGTAAAAATATATATTTTCTTTTTCTTCTTTGGATTTTTTTTTCTTTTCTTTTCTTTTTTTTTTTTTTGGAGGAGGGGGTTGAAACCAAAATACAGACCATATGGAAGAACTTCATCAGGGATTCCTTGTCATATCTTGCTTCTTTTGCAGCCTGCAGGTAAGTAGCAGAAATGAAAATTCATGTTGCATATGGATTACAAACTAATCCCAAAAATAAAGGAAAAAGAAATTAGCTGAAAAGAAATTGCATCACTTAAATAGAACCAACCAATTTTATGTTAACACCTGTGTTTATTTATAACAAATTATGGTTACTGGAATTTCAATAAGAATTGCTGGAGAAAGAAAAAGATCATTGGTTGTCCATAATGTTCAGTCACCAAAATGACTTTAACTAACATTATTTTCTAATAAATAGAAAATAGTAACTTATTAATAACACTTTCATATAAATAAACCAAAAAAGAATTCTGTTACTATACCACTACCTTAACTGCAGGTTACAAGTCAAGAGATATAATAATTCTTTAGCAGCAGGAAACCCTACTTGATGTACAAGATTCTAAAAACACTAATAGCATTATTTCCAACCTCTAAGAAACTCTTGATTAAGAATTATCATCTAGCATCAATAGAGATGGATCATGTATAAAAATAAAGATCTCAGGCTCAACAATGAGTAGCCGCCCATCTGGCAGTACCCCAACTTCATAAGTTATGAAAGTAATTAGTCCATTTTAGTTAGGAATTAAGAATAGTACATTTCCTTAGATTTTTATCTTGGAAAACCTTCTTCCTCAATCCTTAAAACACCAATAAAATGTTGGGACACAAATAAAGGGGATACAGGTGTACAAGAAAAGGCCACGCCAGCSTTTAAAGAATRTAACTAACARCCAACCACTAGAACAAACTAAATAACAAACTAGACAAGTGGACTGGACAAGTGGAGAGGCTGGTATAACAGAATTGTAACAGCAGAATATAAATAAGGAAAGGAAGTTAGAAGGGGATTATGATTTGGGAATACAATCTCTCTCTCTCTCATTCAGGAGGCAGGCTCCCTCGAAAGAGTCCCTAAGTTAGGCAGTTCCTAACATAAAAAGCAAAGAACCCAATACAAGCCTCAACCTAGTCAAGTGAGACAAGATTTCCCTTTCGAATCAATAAGCAGACACACACCATAACTTTATAAGATGTATACCATCGGAAATTACAAATGTCCCATCTACATGCTAGCTGGTTCTTCATGATTACAATGGTAACTGAAAACTCTAAAAATATTTTCAAAAAGTCCTACTCATCGTCTTGGATTTTCAGAGATGAAATATTTAATATAAAAATGTATGCAGCAGGCTAGTCATTTATTGTACAAAGTCATAATCTGAATCCGTGACAGTTTTCTTCATCACATGGCAGAACTTCATAGGCTAATTTGATAACCATAAAAGAAACTAAATGATTAAATTGCAGTTCTTACAGCAAGAAGGCTTCCACTGCCTGGAAAACTCTCTGTCAGTGGAAGTTCCTCGCTAGATGTAGATGGAAGTAAACCCTGCTTCTCAACCCACTGGCGAGCAGCATCAACAAGATTCCCACTGCTCCCTCTTTGACCCTCTTTTGCAGCAATATCTGCTTTGTTACCAACAACAATGTATGGGACAGGAAGGCCACCAGGGCCACCAGATCCAAGAGGTGCCGAGAATGTTCCGGTGGCTGCAATCTCTGCTGCCCACTTATTCAAGTTTGTTTTTGTCCTTCTTTGGGAGAGATCGTGAACAAAAATAACACCTAATAAGAATTACAAGCAAAAAGCAATTACAATTTAATTACTTTCACTTCATTAAACAACCACAGGTCCAACTTGGAACAAGCACCAATAAAGATAAATACTCAAACCAGAACTTGACAAGACGAAAACAAACATCCTCTTGCCCATCTAAAATGACACACATAGGGAGTGTCAGATCCACCAAGGAATGGCTCCCTATAAAGAAGGATACTGGCTCCCTTGACTTTTATGAAAATGTTTCATATAAGCAGTATTTACCATTGATTTGTGAATAGAAAAGAGATCGGCAATCCTTGTAACGCTCATGTCCTGAGACATCCCAAAGTTCAACAAAAAATTCCCTCCCTGTATCACCTTTAATGCTACTAGATGAACTACCTGAACTTCCATAGGTGGTGTGCTGGACAGAGAAGCAGAAAAAAAAACAAGTCAACAACTCAACATTTCTTGATTACAGGAACAGTTTCAAATTGCCTTAAAGAAGCAATGGAAACTTGATTTTCACCTTCACACCAACTGTACATCCAATTGTTTGAGGAGGGCGAGCAATGGCAGAACCTTTGATGATCAGATGAACAAGTGAAGTTTTTCCAACACCTGCCAGCAGATTGAAGTTTCAATATGAAGTTGAATGGAAAAAAGAAACTCTTTTAATTTCAACTAAGAGAGCGAGATACGTTTCTTTAACCATTCATAACAAGGTCAAGCAGTTTTATTAAAATCCCAGAGAAAAAAAAAGGGTAATAGCATATAAGGAAAACTTTTGGGGTTTAATATCAATAAAGGTAATATATTTAAAAAATTTCAAAAATAGGTTAACTTTTTAAAAATAATATCAATAAAGGGCAAAAACACTGTTCATCTTCTTCTTCTTGCTATTTGTTCACCAGAGCCGCAGTCCACCACCACCCTCCACCGCCGTCTGCTGCCGCCCACTGCCGCCTCCGCCCACCTCCGCCTCCCGCAACATTGCCAGAGGTGGCCGAAGGCAGAGGTGGCAGCGGCGGCACTGGTGATTTCTCTGTCCAACGCTGCCACCTCNCCTAACAAGTTGGTATCAGAGCCAAGATGCCCAGCACAAGGTCATCCACAATGGAGAACAGAGTCGACAACATGGAAGGAGAAATGCAAAGAATATCGGCTGACGTCAAAGAAATCAAAGAAAGCTTTGCATCCTTGCTTGAACGATTGGCACAGGCACCACCTGCGCCAATTCAGGAAGAGCGCAGTGACACCAGTCATCGAAGCGGATCAAAAACAGCAAGAATCGAGTTTCCCATCTTCGCAGGGGGAGATCCCACATCCTGGCTTCTACGAACAGAAAGGTATTTCGATTACCACGACACACAGGGACCTGATCGTGTCCCATTAGCTTCTGCACACCTGGAAGGAGGGGCGATTGTCTGGTACCAGTGGTACCGGCGACGGCACCCAAGAGCCACATGGGCAAACTTCACCGACGCCTTAACCATGCGATTTGGAGTCTCGGCTTTTTCATTGGTGCAAATCCAATCACCTCAATTTGAGATGAGAAGCAATTCCCCATTGGTAGCAAATGGTTATCCATTACGCGGGGAAATAGTATTTAAAAAGCAGAAAGATTCTGCTCCCACTCTTGCAAGAACGGACTAATAGGGTCAGCTACCTAGCCAACCTTCATAATTAAATGYCGTTACTGTATGGGTAGATCTCATTGTGAAAAGACCTATTACTDGATAATTCATAGTAGAGCCAAAGAGTGTGAACTGTACAAGTTACCAATAACATTGATTAAATGAGGGAAGGGGCTCCGGCGTATAGAGAGGACCTCACCGTTTAAATGAGAACTATGATGAAAGCCTCGCTAAGCTACGACAGACTGGCTCCGTCCAAGATTATTAGATGGCGTTCGAAAGATTAGTTGTGCGCGTGCAAGGCTGGCCAGAAAACGCGCTTGGCGGCAGTTTTGTTGGTGGACTCAGGGAAGAATTGCGGCTGGAGGTAAAAGCCATGCAGCCCACCACTGTTCTTGAAGCAGCAGCATTAGCTTGACTACATGAAGACAAACTGAATCGAGCAAGAAGGATTAATCGACCTCTAGGAGCTACGATCAAACTAGGTATACCGAACCCAGAACCAGGTATCTTGGGTAAATCGGAGCCCATATCAGGAGTAGGAATCACAGGCAAGGACGCCAACTCTGGTTCAGGCCCCAACTCAACCAAGAGGTTAACCTAGGCTGAGATGCAAGCCCGACGGGAAAAAGGCCTTTGTTATGCCTGTGGAGACAAATTCGTGCCAGGCCATCGCTGCAAGATCCCTCAAGTTTTCTTCCTTCAACCTGAAACCGAATATGTCAAGCAATCAACAGACATTGAAGAGCCAATGGACAACCAAGAATGGGGGCAATGGACAAAGGAATACCCAGAAGTATCCCTGCAAGCCTTGACCGATCTTGCTTCTTCTCAAACTATGAGAGTAACCGGACTGGTACAAGGGCACCATGTGTCGGTTCTGATAGACAGTGGCAGCACCCTCAATTTCATTACCAAAACATTGGTCAGACAACTAGGGATTCCGGTCCGACCATGTACAGCCTTCCGGGTGCATGTAGCTAATGGGAGCAACCTGGTGTGCGACAGTACGTGCACAGAATTAAAGATGAAGATACAAGAACATGAGTTCGAGGTAGATCTGCACCCCCTGGAAATCAGTGGAGCAGATGTAGTTCTTGGAGTCCAATGGTTAAGGCAACTAGGACCGGTGATATGTGATTGGGGGGCCCGTCTCACCATGGATTTTCAAGTGGGCAGCTAACAGGTGCATATTCAAGGGCAATTGTCCAAGGGTCCAGGACCTATTAGCCTTGCGCCCTAAGGAAACAGGCAGCAGACCCAGCCTACATCGTTTTAATGCAGATAGACTCCCACGGGAACAGTCCCATTCTAGCCCAAGGAAGTAGATCCGAAGAAGGCCGCACACAACTACAGCAACTACTTCAGAAGTTCTCAGTGATCTTCCAAGAACCTAAGGAACTACCACCGAAACGTGCCCATGATCATTGCATTCCATTGCTGCCCGGAACTGCACCCACAAATGTAAAGCCCTATCGTTACCCCTATTTTCAGAAACTAGAGATTGAGAGGCAAGTACAAGATATGCTTGACAGAAAAATTATACAACCCAGCCAAAGCCCATTCTCCTCGCCAGTATTACTTGTGAAAAAGAAGGATGGGACATGGCGGTTTTGTATAGACTATAGGGCTCTAAACAACATTACTGTGAAGGATCGATTTCCCATACCGGTAATCGATGAACTACTAGATGAACTCGACAGGGCCACTATATTCTCTAAACTAGACCTGAGATCGGGATATCATCAAATTCGGGTCCATGAGGGAGACATCCACAAGACTGCCTTTCGTACACACGAAGGGCATTATAAATTTCTGGTTATGCCGTTTGGGTTGACCAATGCGCCAGCTACGTTCCAAGCCCTTATGAATGACATATTTCAACCCCATTTATGCAAATCTATACTCATTTTTTTTTATGATATACTTGTATATAGCGCTACATGAGACGAACACCTAGTACATCTACAAATCACCTTGGAACTGCTAAGGACTCATAAACTCCTTGCAAAGGAGTCAAAATGCGCATTTGGACTGACACAAGTACACTATTTAGGGCACGTGGTCGAAAACGGCATTGTAGCAGCAGACCNACGGCGGTTCTGGTGAACAAATGGCAAGAAGAAGAAGATGAACAGTGTTTTTGCCCTTTATTGATAATATTTTTAAAAAGTTAACCTATTTTTGAAATTTTTTTAAATATATTACTTTTATTGATATTAAACCCTAAAAGTTGCCTTTATATGCTAAAAACCCAAAACAAAAAGAAAGCTTCTCCAAAAGGGCTTGCTCTCTAATACAATTCCTCACACCTAATGCTGTGCTTAGCTAATGAAACTGTTAAATGATTAACTAAACTTTGAATCTAATGAATGAAGCATTCCTACCCAAAATCAATATCTAGCTTCCATTATGATATGGCAAAGGATTAAGGGCCTTCACCTGATGCAGGACAGGAAAAGTGATAGAGATCAACCACGTAAGACTGACAAGTACAGGGAAAATTCATAAAATACAAAACCCGAAAGTGGGCCTGAAGATGGTATAATGTTGGGCCTGCTGATGGGCCAAATTTTGGGCTGAAGTTGGGTCTGCCAATGGGTCAACATTTTGACTACTGTAAGCCTATATCCAACTAGCATAGACAGGACAGAGGTTGCAGGCTCCTCTTCCTCATTGCCCACTATTCATGAAAGCTGATCCCCTCCTTTACAGAATAGGATAAAACTGAATTTTGATGACAGCTCTATTGGTAACCTTGGTCCCTCAGGAGCTGGAGGAGTTTTTAGACATATAGAAGGAAGAATCTTGGCTTTATTCTCTGGGCCAATTGGGATAGGTGACTCACTCAGGGCATAAGTAATTGTTTTTAGTTTGTGATTGATGATGCTTTAGAAAATTAAAATTTGGGGAAATTTGAATAGGATTTTCTTGTAAGCTCTCTACATATACGTCATTACAACTTTCCTTTATATGAGAGATGAAGAATTTATTTGTGCAATTATGTTGCAGTTTGGAGTGATTCTGTTATGCTCAAAAGTGAGATGTCATTGAGATCCTTGTCCAATACTTGTGAGACTCAAGCTGTGGCACAGGATTAGGGGTGACTGGGTGAGACTCCTTAACTACCTTTCTTATTCTTTCTTCTTGGTTCGATTTCTAGTTTCCTTGATTCTCTTCACCCCACTTTCTCAGTTCTAAATCATTCTTCAACCTCTTTTTTATTCCTTTTCCCCAATCAGCACAGCACTTCTGCTGATCTTCTTAAGAATTTACCCTTAGCCCCACCCAGACTGTTACTTCTCCCTTTTGATGCCTTCAGCCTTTCTTTAAGTGGTTGCAACCACATGAAATAGAGGGGGAAAAAGAAAAAAGAAAAAAAGTTTTATCTACAATTTGGGGAAATTTTCTTCATGGGATCCACAAGTCTAGCAGCTCCTAAAGTTATTAAGAGGTGCTAGGTGGTCAGTGTATAAGTTTAATTCTTCAATAAATTTACTATCTTTAGTTAAACAAAGTAACAAACTTAATATTTATAGTAACTTTGAAGTTACTATTTATGAAAGCTCATATAACTATTGTTTATAGTAGAATTGTGATATACTACTTTTAATTTTTTTAGATTATGTTAAAAAGGAGCTATTGCTTGATGCAATGGTAAAATCTAGGACTGACAAGCATGGGAATCCAGGTTTGAGTCTGAAAACGTCCACCTTGTGCCAAAGGTTAGGATTGTATCCAGCTCATCCCTTTTGTTAGATCATGTTGGAAAGTGGTTCTAACTTTAAAGAATTCATTTCTTTTATATCAAATTACTGTTAGAAGTTGAATAATTAGATTTTTTTATGATTGTTCTTTAGTTTTTTTTTTTTTGTTTTGTTTTTGGAAGGAGCTGATCAAACCTCAGATCTATAAAAAGGCCCACTTCTAATTTCTCTCTCTTATCCCTTCTCTCTTCTCTCTCTCTCTTTTTTTTTTTTTTTTGATCAGCAACACAGAAAAGATTCATTAATTAAAAAATCATGTACAACAAGAAGCTGTGGGTGGACAAGAAGTCCAAAGTATCTCACCAATTACATCACAGCCCCAATCATAGCCCAAAGGACAATTCCTTTATGGCCTGTTTGGTTGATGTGACTGGGATGAGAAAATGGGAATATTCCCATTAGATACTTATTTTCATCTGTTTGTTTTATGAGACGGACTGAGAAATCACGGGACGCGACTTCCCAAAACTTGGAATGTGGGGTCGCACTGAAATGGTGCGACCCCAGTGACTTGGTGAGAAAGGAAACGAATGAGAAAATATATTGTAACCTGTCGTAAGTGTCTCCTCTTTCTTCCACAATTCAAGCTTTCACGTCCTCCCGGTTAGAACTCCGATCACTTCTCTGGCCATAACCGTTAAAGGTAAGACCAGAACAACATTCTACTTGTGATATTGGTTCGTTTAAGCCCTCTTTTTCGTATTTTCAATTTGATATTTTTTCCCTCTCAATTCAATGTTTACCCCCTTCTGACAGACCCGGCAATGATTCGTCTGGGACAATACCCATTGGTTTGGGCATATTTTTATGCTCAGTTTTCTTTGAATTTTGTTGTTTTAGAGCACTAGCAATATCTGGTCACCCCTGTTCTGAACGCCATTGATTCCGGCGTATTGTAGATGGGGTTTCCTTCTGAAAGAGTTTCTAAAAAAACATTAGAATGTTGTTGGAGTCGAAGCAAATGCAGGCCCTGAAATTGCATGAGTGGCGGAGGACTAGAGGCTGTATATTCTGCGATGTTGCAGTAGAGTTACCGCAAAGGCTGTTGCATATGCAAGCCCCCAAACTTCTAGCCATATCTCAAGGTATTAAGATTAAATTGCTTCTTGGTGGCTTCTTCTCCATAAATGTTAACAGTTAAACTTCTCAGTAAACAAACACTGAAAACTTGATTTTCTCGCATATTTGACTAACAAACCAAAACACGGGACACCTCAATGGGAAAATAAATTTTCTGTTTCTCATCCCATCCCTTCTCATCCTTTCCTTTCCCAGACTAATTTTCTTGGAAACCAAACAGACCATTAATTACAACAAAGCCCCAAAGGTGACCAAAAAGAAAATCCCCCTAATTACAACATATCCCAGAACATAGATTGTCTTTGAACTCCTTGCTTAGCTAGACCATCAGCCATGCTATTAGCTGATCTTCTAGTCCATCTTATTTGAATCACCATGTCTTTAGAAGCCTGCTTGAAGCACCTGAGCTCATTCCTTAGCTGCCAAATTATTCCCTCCCCTTTCTTCAGCCAGTTTACTACAAGTTTCGAGTCTCCTTCAATAACCAACCTGTTAATCCCCATTTCTTTAGCTTTTTCAACACCATATAATCAACATGTTTATCCCTTCTCTCTTCTCTCTTCCTCTATCCTTCACCTTTTTCTTGCTTATCTAACGTTCTGCAGCTTTTCTTTTTCTAATTTATTCTCTTAATACTCTTCTTGATTCTATTAGTTGTTGGTTTGAATTTCTACAATGATAGACCAACTCCCATAATATACTCTCTGAGATTTGAGAATTGAAACCCTTCTTTGAACCACCAATGACCAATCTTCCTTCCTTTTACCTTCTTACAGATCCGCATTCCTGTCAACCTGTCATTTAACCCACAACTTTGATTGGTAGGGCATTCTTTACCTGTCCTATATAATCACCACCTTCTTGCAATCCATCCTATCACTACTGGGGAATCCCCTTTCACTTCTAGACTAGTATCTTGCGGCAAGCACGACCCTTGGTGGAGTCCCCATATCTATAGGACCACAATAAACTGACAGAATCTCCTCTCGTTTCCTCTAAATGCACCTCCATCTCCCAACATTTTCAGATTACCACAGAGCAGCTGTCAAATTCAAGGATTATACATTCATTGAAACCAAAAATAGATAGAAACCAATTATTCTGATAGATTTATTAAGGACAATCGTACACCCCAAATCAATACTGGAGGGAAAAAGAAGCTCATCCTTGGGACATGTGTCACACATATCAAGTTGAACTACATACAAAAATGTAGAGACTACCTATTGACTGGTTTGAATCTAAGATGTTGCCTACACCAAACATCAATCCAATCAATCATCTTAACCCATAACATCAGCCTTTGGATTGCCAGCAGTAACACAGTGGACAACCAAAAAGTAGGACAAGAATCTGATAATAAAACCATATTATCAGGATTATTTTGTCCTAAGCGATATCCAAAATGGAAGAAATCATACTCTGGACCAAAAACCCTTGTATAAGTATTATGCATATAAAGTTTGTAGTGCTTCTTCATGTCCTTTGATGTCTAACATTCATACAAGGTTTTGAGACAAATTCAAAAAACAGGCACATCTAAYCAAAAACTTTCCTAGGATGAACTGTATGAAAGATTTACTTTAGGAAAGTGTTCGATAAAGGGCAAGAGATGCTGTTTGACATGCAACTTCAAGAAAATGGAATATTTCTTGTTACATTGTTATTCTGTAGGAGATTATTACAAGAAGTGATAAGATTTGAAACTTCTAAGATTTACAAAAAAACTTGATATGGTCCTTAACAACTTACAGAGTTCTTGTAAATTGTTGGATACTTTCATAAACAAAAAAAAAAGGTTTTGGAACTTACAACATTCATTTAAGTTTCACCTAGTATTTTAAAAGCGAGAAGAACAAATAAATGCTGTGGGTTCCTAAATTGCAAGGCACTAGCCTGAATGAGGTCAGGGAGGCACCGCTTTTGAAAATTTTGAAAGAAAATATAAAAGAATATGTGAACCTAAATTCTGAAAGAAATATCAAAAAGACTATTAGCTCAATTGATGTGAGCATCATGTTATTAAAACAAGCTTTGATTTTCACAGGAAAAAAAAAAACACAAAAGTTGCAACCTTGAAGGTTCAAGTCCCATATAGGTTAAACTGATTAAATTATAAATATCATAGCTACAACCTACAGCATAGTAAATTACCTATTCAAACATCAAATTCAAGGATAATTCATCAAAACAAAACAAGCTAGATTAGGCACACCGTGCACCCAAAGTTGAATTTAAAACCATGTGAAAGCCCTTGCTTTCTGCGTATTCAAGTCTTGATATGTTCAATTACCATATTGTTTTAAGCATCAGCTATTAAAAATGTAATGATAATCTTAGCCCCGTTTTCGATTCTCTGTGAAAAGTGAAAATGTGATTTATGACACTGAAATATACTTCACTAGCTTAATAATTGAAGTTTTCAAATATCAAAACTGCATTGGTTTTGTAGAGAAAGAAAAACCCAACTAGTCCCATTCGGCACTCGACCAACTCACCAATTGACTCGTATCCACACCGAACCCAACTAGCATTGAATCAACTCTGACTAACATGGATAAGCATACTCTGAATCTCAGTAGTCATACACGAATCCAAGGTGAGTAGTGGGATGCAAAGAAATACAAGGGAAAAAAACTTTGGAGGTTAAACTCAATGCTAGAAAAAGAACAAGAGATAGAGAATTCCATACCTGAGTCTCCAACGATAAGCACCCTAACCTGCCCACAAGGAGGACCGCCGTTGGAGTTTCTATTGTCCCTTTCACGTTCCCTCCAGAACATGTTTTGGTCCAAAGCGTTTAACCAAGGCCACCTCCCGATAAGATCAGAAAAACAAGAGGTCCCCAATTCCCCCTAATCAAGTCCCCTCAAACAAAGACAAACCCCAGGTTCTCAAGATGGGTGTCCCCAAATCCGGTCCAAAATCCATATCAAGCGAAAACCAGGCCAAGATCTAATCTAATATTCAAGAACCCTATACAGTACATGAGAAGAATTTGAAATCCATTCCAGATATCAACCAGTTGCTCTGATTTCAGAATTCAGAACCCACGCAGCGTTAGAGATCAAACGGCAAAATCGGAAATGAGTGTTGTCATAACGGTGTTCACTATGAAAAGCGAAGGGAAATTATCATCTGGAGATGAGAATATGAAACGAGTCTTCCTTTAAAACCGTCTCAGAATTCAATATCGGTCAGAAGACGAGCAAGACCTGGAGGCGAGGCCGTGGTCGTGGACTGTACAAGTAAAGATCTATACAAAACCAGTTAGAAGGGCTTTTCGCTAACCTATTTGTTAGAGAAGCCAAGTAGAAGATTAAAAATTTTGTACCCAAAAAAAAGTAGAAGATTAAGAACTAAAAACCTCAAAGAAAATGCATGATTAAGAGTACCAACACAAAAAGGCTCCCGCTCATTAGGCAATTTTCTTCATGTTAGATTGGTATCTGGTTAGCACCAATCGACTGGTCTAAAACTTTAAACGGGACCATTTACCGAACTAGGACCTAGAAAGAAAACCAAAATCGCATCTGCCAAAGAAAATGACAAATGGTCGAGTTAAAAGAAGGGATGAAAGAAAAAGTTCACTACCAAATCCTCTTCCAAAGGTTCATTACCATTTCCCTCTAATTATAATTCCCAGTAAAGTCCCTTGACAAACTTCCCTTCCCCCTCCCCCAGAGAAATGTTAGCACTTAGCAGGCTCAGTTGGTAAAGTGGATATTCAGGCTGGCAGAAATGTTAGCAGTCAGTTGGTAAAGTGGATATTCAGGTTGGCTCTCAAAAAGTATACTGACAGCGGATTCTTAGAAAACAGTATTGAAGAGGAAGAGGAAAGTGACTCATATTCAGGGGTGTCAATTGGACTGGGTTTGGTCCAATCTGCTACAGTCGAATGTGAGTCCATTGCAAGTGGATCAGGTTCAATCTAATTCAATAAATATTTTGGACCATTTTGGATTGGTCCAATTCAATGTCCGGACCATGTTCAAATTTGTTTTAATTTAGATTAATTCTAATTCAAACCTGGTCCATTGACACCTATATTCTTATCCTATACCAATGGATCAAATGTTGGCTCAATCCAACCCAATCCAATATAAATTCATTATGGATGGATTAGGTCCAATCCAATCCGATAAATACTTTGGAAAACCGGTCTATTGACACCCTTATTCATATCCTTAATTTTCATGATATGAAACTAAAATCTATGTCTATATTATATATAAAAGTGTGAATGTAGTGTGGAATTTTTTGGACTAAAATTACCCTCTATTTCTTTATTTGAGAAAGGTATAAAAGTCATTTTATTATAGCTTTAATGTTAACTTTAATGGCTATTAAAATATCCATATTTGTATATTTAATCCATTTCTAATTGTAAGGGTTCAAAATGTAACTTCGATTATTACTTTCCATCTCATTTAATCTCTTCTAATTAAGTCTTATTTTTAAAGTATTAAATCCCATTTTATCTTATAAAATCATATATTTTTAAGTTTTTTTTTCACTAATAAATGTTGCTAATAAGATCTATGTCAATATTTTTAAAAGTACAAATCCATATATTTTAAAATTGACTAAAAAACAAAATCATTCTCTATCCAAGTGGTGGTTAAACAATTCAACCATCCAATTCAATTTGATCAATTTACGAAATCATAGTTAGGTAATAAAATTTTTAAAATAAAAATAAATATAGAAAATTACAAAAACGTAGAAAAATTAGAGACATTTATGTAATTAAATTATTTTTATTGATAATGAACATGAAATACATAATTTAGAATTGGCCAAAAATGAAATATAAAAATTAATAATAAATAGTTCAACTTTTGGGTTAAATGTATTAAATTTTAGCGTCATAAATAAATAATAAAAAATAATATAATATAAAAATACATACATTTTGCAAAAAAAAAACATTCAAACATATGTATAATATCATATATTTATCATATTAAACAAAAAGTAAGTGTAAAATATCAAAATTAGTTTTACACACAAAAATACAAAAAAAATTATAGTAAAAACTGAACACATCTATAATTATATATCTACACTACTATTAAAAATATGAATAAGATTGTGGAATTTTCTTTTGATTAAAATACTCATTTTTTAATTTAGTCACTATTTAATTATGAGGTTTAAATTGTAAACTAAACTACTACATTTCACCACATTCAATTCACTCTATTTAAATCTTACTTTTTTTTTTGATAAATGACTAAAAAAAGATACACCAAAAAAATAAAACATTACAAAATGAAGAATCTAACCAAGCAATAGGGGTGCAAATGGATTGGATCGGGTCGGATAATAGGATCCAATAAAAAAATTGGACCGTATTTGGATATGTGTGTGTTATTTATAAATATATTATTTATATTGCAATTTTGTATCGAATACTTGTATTTTTTTGTTTTTCTTTATTTAAATTTTTATACTTTAATTTTCTTTTAATATTTTATTATTTTTTAAATTAAATTGGAACGGATCAAATCCAAATATCTGACTTCCTCATCAAATTCATATTCAAATCCATGTTTATGAGATGCAATCAAATTTGTTGTTAATAGTATCGGATTAAATTCGGATATACCCTTATTCAAATTTGATCCAACCCATTTGCATCCCTACCAAGCAGATAGGCTTGTCAATGATACCTAAAAACTTCACAACTTAATCCAATTATCACATATTTGGATGAGGTGTTTATGTAATCATATTTGAATTTTGCAATCTACATCTGATTAATAATATAAAATATAAAATATAAAACAAAAATAATACATAAAAGTTTATAGAAAAATTTGGATATATTATTACCATCATTATTGTCATCTAGAATTGCCATCTGCAAAGCACGTGCATGCTTACTAGTAGTTGAGAAATGTATTAATTTAGCAAGATGTAAATGTATAGGATTGAATATTTGTTTAGGGAGTTAACCTATAGCAAATTAGGACCCGTTTGGGAGGGTTGAGCTGAAGATAAGCTTTGGTTCAGCTGCATGGTTTACCTGCCTAAGAAGTCAGATAACCTTGGTGAGGCACTCTAACAAGGTATTCAAAGAGGTTGAAGTGTCCCCTTCAACTGGTTGATCCATAGCAAATTTGGCTCCGAAATTTTCACCAAAACATATGAACAAGCAGAAGCCAATGCACTTTGTTTTATTTTATTTTTTGATAGAAATAGAAATTACCATTCAAACAAAAAGTTTTTTAACAACACAGTCAAAAAATTAGGAGGCGAGTCAACAAAGCAAACCTCCTCATCCTCACTATGGGCCCTTTTAGCAATTTCATGGGCCAAACAAAGTCTTTTCCCTAGGGATGTAAGCAAAAGATGCCCCAACTTGGGCCAAACAAACAAAAATATTGTTCACTTGCTACCAAAGTTCAGGAATAATATTTACAGATCCACGGTTCAAATAGTTTATAGCTTCTAGGCTATCTAAAAATATAGAATTTTTTTAGAAAGATTTCGACACCGCAAACAAGACTACTTCCTCGATCGCACAGAGCTCCATCTTGAGAACCGACCCCACTCCAAGACATTTTTCCCTATAGTAACCATAAAAGACTCTGAGTTAGATGGAAAGATAAATGCATAAGTACCTTTGCCACTTTGCAAAACACTACCATCACAAAAGAACATGCCCTCCTCCCCCTTCAGGGTCCCCCTTAGAGGGAGGGTGGGAGGTTTATCTTTTTGGATAGTATCACAATTCATGACCCCCCAGGTCTACCTACAAGCAACCTCTTTTCTAGCTTTCCAAATTTGAAGATAGGCTTTGTTACTAGATCTGGTCATTTCTGAACCACCAGATGTGGTAAGCTATCACCGCTACCCAAATTAATAAATCCATTTTATCATTTTTGAGGAAAACGCACACAAAGCCACAAAAATAGTTTTCATAACAGAATTTCTAATACAATTCAACACAAAAGCCATGGGAGAAGCAAACCAAATAGCTCTCGCAAAAGGGCACAAAAAACAAGTGAAGAGTTGTTTCATTCTGAGCTTTACAAAAGACACAACAAGCTAAAATATTAAAGCCCCTTTGCCCTAGCACATCTGCAATGATCACAAACCCTCTCAACACTCTCCAAAGGAAAAGCCTATATCTAGGCAAAATAGGCAAAGCCCACACTGCTCTAACCAAAGAGATAAGGTTGGAGTTAAGCCCAAAAATATGTTGACCCACCAAGTAGTGAATAACAACCCCTGGTAAAGACCCCTTTCTTTCCCAAAGTCCAAAAGAACTGTTCCCTGCTCTAAACTCTGAATATGTGAGTCTAACTAATTGCCAAAATCCAATCTAGGTCAAGGTGTTGCTCTATAACTCCCCTATTCTAAGTCCCACCCTTACTTATAATATCCACTAGAGTTAGCTGGGCCTGCTCCCTAGTGGGGGGTCCCATCGAGGCTGTGAACCCATCTCCTTTTGTAATCCAAGGATTACCCCACGTCGTGACTTCCCAAGTGGGTTTCACCTTATATAGCCCAGGAAAGGGTAAATTTCCACAAGAGCTTTTGCTAAATTCTTCCAAAAGAATGAGGAGTTCCTACTTACTTTTCAAGGAAAGAAGTTTTTATTCTTCCAGTATTTACTCTTTAAAAATTGCACCCAGAGAGAGAGTCCTTATTCAATAAAGACCAAGCCACCTTCCACTGAAAAGGCCTTATTAATATCTATAGCTCTTCTCAAGACAAGTCCTCCCAATCCTTCAATTGACAAATAGTATCCCAGTTAGCMCAATGCTAAGGTTTTGAGTCTTTCTGGTGCTTCCACCAGAAGTTTCTTTGAGTCTTGTCTATTTTCTCATTGAAACTATCCAGGAGCTTAACACATGGACATGGCATGGTTAGGGACAGCTTGGAGAACTGCTTTAGCTAACACCAGTTTACCCGCCTGGGACAAATTTGCAGCCTTCCAGTTACTCAACTTAGAATTCAATTGATCCAGAATAAACTCCACTAAGTCAGCCTTTTAATTTCTTCTTCCAGATCAGGGGATTTCCAAGTATCTTGCTTGGTAATCCAAGTTCTCCATTTTTAATTGTCCCTTATGGCTAACATTCCTACTAAAGAAAATGTATGATTTTCTACAATTAACAGTTTGGCCCAACATCTTTTGAAATTTATCAATTATGTCCAAAAGGTTAGCTATGTGGTCCCACTTAGCTTTAATAAAGAGAAAGAGATCATCCACAAAAAAACAGGTGGGAAATTGTGCGTGTGTGTGTGGAGGGGGGGCTCCCCTACAAATCTTAACTCCCTCAATTAACCCCTGCCTCAACTCTTCCTAATAGTCTGGAACTCTGGATAGGCCCTTCATGGCCAGGATGAAAAGATATGGGGGAAAGGGGGTCTCCTTGACGTAGACCCCTAGTTGGGGTGACCCTCCCCTCAGTTACTCCATTTACCAGGATTGAGAAGGAGACTATGGAGATACAAAACCTCACCAGATTACACCAAGTCTCAGAGAAGCCAAGCCCTCTCAAGACTTTAATAATATAATCCCACTCAATTCTATCATAAGCTTTAAGGATATCAACCTTTATGGCCATAGCTCTACCTCCTTTTTTGTTGTGTTTTATGTAATGGAAGATCTCATAGGTGATCACCACATTATCCAAGATTTGTTGACCAGGAACAAAAGCATTTTGGAAGGGGGAGACACACTTGTCCAGAAGTGGTCTAATTCTATTAGCCATGATTTTTTATATGACCTTATAGGTCACATTACACAAACTTACAAGCCAGAAGTCTCTG